AATGGGGCACTGGGTGATTGTCCATAATGAAGGTCACAAGCACAAAAATCAAAGCAGGGTCAAGAACTAGCCAGGTGCACATGTCAGATATATAATATATTAAAGGTGTAAAAGTAAGAAAGACATAAATTCAGAAGAAAAGATGAGGTGCTCATTTTGGATTAGATTTTAGATTAGGGAAAGAGTAATTTTGGGAATCACCAGCAGAGTCTAATATGAGGTGAAAAGGAGGACCATTGGGCTGAGGAATGGTAAGTCTTCAAAGGCAGGAAGTTTATGAGGGGTTTTTGGGCAGACTTATCAACCTAATCCTGAATTGAACCTCACATCTTTAAGATAAAAAAAATAAGAAATACGGCATGCTAAGAAATTTCTACTAAAAAGGGATGTGCCTTGGAAAACTTTTTCTTATGGAAGCGAGGAAGCATCATTTACACTTTCAAAGGTTCATCTTGCTGATAAAGTGATATTGAACACATATTCACAACATATTTATTCATAATATAGAAGTAAAAAGTTGTAAGTGCTAAAACACTGGTGTCTTTCTATAATTCCTGATGGGACTGTCATATAAGGGTGAATATTAATGTAAGCTGTGTTGGGAGGATAGAAAAATGATTTAAAATGTCTAGCTCTGTAATCAGTCTGCTTGAGTAGGTCTATTACTTACAAGCTGTGCAAACTTAGGCAAATTAAATGTCTCCCCAGTAATTAAATTTTCTTATCCAAGTATAGGTTAAAAAATATTTGTTCTTTAGAATTATTTTTGGTAGCTTCCAATGAAATACAACTATATCTATATATATATCACACTCAGTAACTGTTATTAACAGTAGCTGTGTGTTTCTGAATAACCTGTCTAATCCTTCTAGGCTTCAGTTCCCTGCCTGTGAAATATCTACCTTATAGGGTGTTTGTAAAGTTACATGAGAACATTTCTATTAGATATTTATCTGAGTAACTCAAGAAATTTCAACAATTATTATTAATGGTAAAGTTACTTTTAACCATACTTTGAAACTCTTTGAGATATAAAATTTACCAACCTAAATTTTACTCAAGAAGAAATATATAATTAAGTTTTTAAATACTGTGAATTGAAAACTCAGTGATATTCTGGAAATAGCATGTGATCTTAGACATATTTTCTTTGTAAATAATAGGATGGATAATAACCATTTACATTTAAGGAGAATGAAAGTAGCTGTATTTGAATAAGCTTTATAAGAGAAAGAAAACTTGCATTTTCATGAACAGAGTTAAGCAGTCTCAACTCACTGAACTCAGACTCCAGTGAGGAGATTTCCTATGTGACATATGCGAGGATCAAGGAAACAAAGAGAAGTTGCTGAAAAGACAACAACTACATTTAAAAATATATCCAAAAGTCAAACATGGCTAGCAATGTTTCATTGTTGAAAATGTTCAAAGTAATGATCTAAAAGATCAAAGTATTTTCTGAAATATTGATATAATGCACATCACCACCTGTTTTGCCCCTCTGTGTCTCCTGATTCACAGAAAAGTATACTAAGTATGGTGTTAAGCATAATTATTTAATCCTAGCTCTGCCACTAGTTTGCAATATGCAAATTACTTAAACTTTCCATATTTCCCAGTTTTTGCCTTTCAGGGCACATTAAGAGACTATACTTGGAAATGTCTGCTTAATTTTTCACAGACCCTGGGCATGGTGGAATAGAAACTTTCCCTTACTGATATCTAATGAAGAGTAACTGGTCAAGTATGACAACTCTCTTCATCCACAAAGTTTCATATAACTACATAGGAATTTGTATTTGAGACTTGACCCTGGCATTGTATCCTTTTATAGTATGGTTATAGTAAGAGGATACAGGAAAGGGATGGTTTTTTTCTATACATATCTTATTATTCTTTGGGATGTTTATATCATTCCTTGACTTGTCCACGCCTCTTTCTAAGCATGCCTCAGGAGACAGTATTCAAGTTATCTTCCAAAAAATAAAACCACAATAAAGCCAAACCAAACTCAAGCAACCTTCAGGCAGCTAACTTTTGTGAAAATCTGTCTTATGTTAGGGTGGAGGTGGTCCCTAGAGAGAAACTTTAGTATGATTAGGAGAACTTGGAAAAAAACTCAAAGACATTACACTCACAGTTAGAAAAAACACCTAGAGGGAAAAATAACATCAAAGAAAAAGAAAAAGAAAACGTTTATAGTCTTCATCATGGAAATTTGGTTTCCTGAGAAATGTACTACTCAGGACAGGTCAGTGTTTCTCTGGTCTTCAGATAATACTAGGGGTTGTGAATATTGGAGAAAAGGAGAAAGAGAGAGAGAGAGAGAGAGAGAGAGAGAGAGAGAGAGAGAGAGAGAGAATATGAGAAAATGAATGTGAGAATTTGATAAAAGGAAGATTCTAATTTTTTAAACTGTGATTTCTTAGCAGAAGAAATCAGAAGACATACTACACTTTCTTTATATGTGCTGTAGGTAATCTCAGAAAAGATTATGTGTTTGTTCTTTTTATGGATAAAATTATTAGTGAAAAATGTTATAATCTCTAAAATCCAGGCCCTCACTTTACTGTAAGGATTTAAGTTCACTCTTCTTTTTGGTCCTTTAAGCAGAAAATCAATACCTTCATGTCCCTAATGTTATGCAAGGGAAATCAGATTTTTAAAAAAATTTTGAGTCAGAGTCTCACTCTTGTCATCCAGGGTGGAGTGCAGTGGCACACTCACAGCCACCACAGCCTCGACCTGCTGGACATAGGCAATCTTTCCATCTCAACCTTCCAAGTAGCTGGAACTATAGACACACACCACCACGCTGGGCTAGTTTTTGTGATTTATTGTAGAGATGAGGTCTCACCAAGTTGCCCAGGCTGGACTTGAACCCCTAAACCCCTGGGCTCAGGCATTCCTTTTGACCTGCTGGGTTTAGGTGATCCTTCTGCCTCAGCCTTCCAACTAGCTATAACTACAGACACCCGCCACCATGCCTGGCTAATTTTTGTGATTTATTATAGAGACAAGAGCTCACCAAGTTGCCCAGGCTGGTCAGATGTTTTTCTTCTAATCAACCTATAAAACTTAACTTTAGAAAACTCTCTGGATGTCTGTAAATTTTACATAGTTTAGGTCACACTAATATTTTATAATTTCATTTTTCATTTATTTAAACATTCAAATATTTGTTCAACCCTAAGGTGCCAGGTATTATTTTCAGTAGTGGAAATACACTTTTAGACAAGATAAACAAGATCATTGTTTTAATGGAACATGCATTTAAGAGAAAGGAGATAAACAAACAAAAGTCATGAAAATATTATTTAATAACCTTATTTTAAAAGCCACATATAATAGTGTGAGTGACATGCTAGGGACGAACTCATGGGCCTCTTCTAAAGATGCCCCATTTAAACTGAAATTAATGCAGAAGCAGAGATAGAGCTGACACAAGATACAAGACAGAGGCAAGCTTGACAGAAGTAGGACAAAATAGAAGGCCATGATGAGTAGTGCATTTGAATGAGGAAAGAATAGTTCAGAAAGGTATGAAAGAGCTAGGGAAGGTCTTAATAAAGAGACTATTGTGTGAGACTATTTTATTGTGAGTGCAATAAAGCTACTGGAAATTTTTAAGTCAGAAGTACCACAATGAAATTGACATTGTTAAGAAAGATTCATTTGGATTTGATTAATTAAAGCTATTTATGAAGGAGATGACTATTATGAGTGGATGCAATTCATATTTTAAATATATAGGTTTGTCTAGTCTGTTTTTAACATTTTTTTTCTATTAGATTGTAAATTCCAGAGGATAGTAATCATATTTTCTATTTCTATACTATCTTTACCACTTATTATTCCCTCATTTGGAAATAATATTGAGCACAAATCTCCATGCCTAGAATGTATTATGTAGAGGACCTTGTTAGAAGGAAAATACTTTATGTATCTTTAATCTTTTTGTTTTAGAAACTGACTTGATTTCTCAATGAAGTAAAACTCACAAGTCACAGAATAGATCAGTGTGTTTAAGGGTTTTACTCTCCTTTGTTTCATTTTTGTCACAATGCTGGATGCTACTTGCATCTAATTAAGACTCTACCCTGTCAGACATCTCAAGTCATTCAGACCCAGATAGGTGACATCACTAGGTGATGGGATAACCCTTGACTTACTACAGTGAATATTCTACAATTACAAATCGAACTTAAGGGAATGGGCACAAGTAAAAGACGCTGTTCACACCTTTTAAAATTATTAATTATCTAATGTTAAATTATTTAAAAACTGAAATAGTTTAAGGCAACAACCCCTTCGGATCCCCTCCCACTGTGGGAGTTTTTCTGTCCTCTTTATAAATCCTGCTTAAAAAAAACCTTGAGATAGTTTAGATCCATCCTAGAGAAATTGATGATCATATTTATTTGCTATCTATTTTGATGAGATGTAAGTCAAATAAGTAAGCAAACAGCATCCTTCCATATGAGGGATTTGTTTTTTAACCAAAAGCCTCAAAGAGAAATGGTGAAATGAAATGAACATTCCTTATTATTGATATGCAATTTGCCATTTAGATGAAGCATAGGTGGAACTCGGGGGGTGGTGGGGAGCATTTTGCAAAAGCAACAATAAATTAATTTTATCTTTTCCTTGATGATGTGAAAAGGTTTTTCTTGTTAAAGTTCTGAGACTTTCAGGCTCTATTTCAGCATTTTCATGAGTCTTTCATAATTAGAATTTTGACAAACAGAAGGTTATACAAACAACTGTATGAAAATAATTGTAATGCATAATATAATTCACTGCCAAGTAGGACTTCTGGGGGGAGGGCGAACAGAGATGATTGAAGCTTACAAAAGAATCTAGCTGTTTTCTAGCGCTGGTTACCGTTGTCCTGCATGGTTTATTTCTGTCTAGAATCAATCGCTCTCACTTGCTTGTTGCTGACTTAGATCTAAGACGAAGAAAAAGTCAAATCCTGCTTTTTCTTTTGTTCCCTGCAGAGCATGGGGCTCCCTCTTCAGCTTGGCGTCCAGCTGCCCTGACCTTACTGACTTTGTGCTTGGTGCTGCTGATAGGGCTGGCGATCCTGGGGTTTGTGTGTAAGTCCACTCTGACTGGGGGGAGGGTTCTAGTTCCAGGGTTTGTCAAGGATGAGAAAAACTTGTTATAGACTTTTTAACTTTAATTCTGGAAAATTCTGTGTACCTTTTTCTAATGCCAACTATTTAAATGATAAGTAGAAGAAACATTAAAATCTGGTAATCACTTGCCAACTAGAATTAAGCATTTTGTTTGAGATAAGGATTTTGTTTGTTTATATGCCAATATGTAAAAAAAAAAGTCATAATTTTAAAAATGCATGCTTCAACTCTTTTTAATTCCAAAATTAGTCGAGTGGCAGAGATTTTTGCTCTCAGTATGTATGGACTAGTGCAGAAGGAAAAGACTTTATTTATACACCACACTATTGATAGAGAGTAGTTAAGCTGCTTAATCATTATGATATTTTTCAAAAAGGCCAGAAAGTTATAGAGTCATTTACAAAAACTAGTGAAAATCAAGCAAAAAAGAATGGGCCGGGCACAGTGGCTCAGCCTGTAATCACAGCACTTTGGGAGGCTGAGGTGAGAGGACTGCCTGAGCCCAGGGGTTCAAGACCAGCCTGGGCAACTTGGTGAGACCTCATCTCTAAAATAAATTAAAAAAAAAAAAACTGGGTGTGGTAGCACGTTCCTGTAGTTCCAGCTACTTGGAAGGCTGAGGCGGAAGGATCGCCAAAGTCCAGCAGGTCGAGACTGTGGTGGCCATGGATGCAACACTGCACACCAGACTGGGCGACAGAGACTCCTACTCAAAAAAAAAAAAAAAAAAAGTATGTCTAAAAGTCTCAATTTCCAACCAGTAAGGATACATTTTCAAGTTTAGAAAAGGAAGTGAGTATATTTACCTTATCATTTTAGATGATTGAGAGACTACAGTTTGAGATACTACAGTAATGCTTTCTGAACAGTTGAAGAAGGTGATTCAAGACAAAAAAGAGCAAGATTTAATGTCAAAAATTGATTTTTTAATGGAAAAATTTAAAACTTCTAGTTGTGAACTTAAAACTGAAATTCAATAAACAATTTTGATTGTTTCCTCCTGATCGTAAGGTTTTTATTTCATTTTTCTGTAACTATTGTTTTGCAATCACCATTTTTCTCAGGAATATAAAGCAACCCTTTTGATTCATGAGGGATTTTTCTACTTATGTTTCGAAACACAGCATTCAAATCTAAAGGTTGAAATTTTCTAGTCAACAGATGTTAGAACATTTACTTATTCTCTCTGATCCTAATTGTAAATTTATCTAAAAAGTATAGAAATGAAAATAAGATTATTTCAATAACTGAATGACTAACAATATGGTATTGTCAATACTCAACATGATGATCAATTAACAAATAAATTTGTGGTTATAGGTTGAATAATTGAGACCTAAAAATATTTGGTAAGCAGTAAATATAGTTTGGGAATTTATTCTTGAAATTAGAAACTGCTATTATGATGACTTCATCTTTTTCGAAAGACTTGAAGAAATTAATTTGCCCAAAGTGATACAATTTATTATACATGTACTGAAGTACAAACTTGAATATAGGCAATATGAGACCTCAGAGCCTGAGATACTAAACAACATACTGCTTTGTTTTCCCCACATGCAAAAATAAAAATAGAAATGCAGGCATAAGTTGCCCAGTCTGACCTGGTCACTTGCATTAGTTTTTCAGTACTACCAGCTCTCCAATAGTCAGCAAGACAGCATCTCCCAAAAGGAAGAAAGACTGGGGAATTTCTCCCAACAGGTGCAATCTCTACAAGCCCAGAATAGGAAGCTTGCAAAAACTCTGCAGCATGTGGCTGAAAAACTCTGTCGTGAACTCTATAACAAAACTGGAGGTAAGTATGTGCTGATCACTCTACTCCCAGCCTATCACGCAATATAGAACTGAATTTCTCATCAGTGTAACTGGGAGCTGTGTGTTACTTAATCAGTAATCTGGCAAACTGAATAAAGAGTTTGGACTTTAAGATCATGGCCACAGCCGGGCTCGGTGGCTCAGCCTGTAATCCCGTGCCTTTGGGAGGCTGAGGTGAGTGGATTGCCTGAGCCCGCGGGTTCGAGACCCGCCTGCGTAGCGAGACCTCATCTCTACAATAAATCAAAAAATCAGCCGGGCATGGTAGCTCATGCCTGTAATTCTGGCTACTCGGAAGGCTGAGGCGGAAGGATCGCCGGAGCCTGGAAGGTTGAGGCTGCAGTGGCGGCCACTGCACTCCAGTCTGGGTGACAGAGTGAGACTCCAACTCAAAAAAAAAAAAGATGATGGCCACTTAATGGGATCATGCTGTTCATATGCACCTGTGTTATAACACGTGAAGGAATTCTTCAAATGCAGACCTTTAAAACAACAAAAACAGTTAACCCTAGAATAACCAACATAATACCACAAGCAAATAAAATACAGAGTTAGGTCTCAATTTCCTTTGGCACATGTGTTTACAAATTCTTCCCTAAAAGAAGTTAACAAACTCATAACTATACTTCTCAAATTTTAAGACTAATACAGAGTTTGACTTAAACGTGCTGATAAACTGAATCAAACTCAAGTTTTTAAATTTGGTATAACTAGGATGAGTATAAAAAATGTGCATTTAAATAAAGATCACAGATGATGACAATGCTAATAGTTAGTAAACCACACTTTGGTAAATAGACTAGTGGATAATTCTAGGAGCATCACTTCAGCCCGTGTGTGTGTGTGTGTGTGTGTGTGTGTGTGTGTGTGTGTGTGTGTGTGTCTTACTATTATCCTGTCCTTTTTAAGTTTTATAATGATCCACTTTATTCAAGTCAGCCCTCTCTTCTGCTATTTGTTGAGAATACATAGGAAACAGCATGCACTTTCAGGTTTCCATTATTTATATATTTTTTGGGAAATCTAAAGAAGCACAAAGTCCTATAGTCATCTATAGACCCACCACTTCCCATCCTAAGCAGACACCCTGATTCATAGTTACCCAGAAAATAGTATTAATAGGCACAGTTTCACTTCTCAGGTGATTTTTCCCACATGGTTAATGATCTCACTGGTCATAATTTCCTTTTCTTATTTTATTGACAACCCAGTGTGCATACTTTTCTCTGTTGGATGCCTTATTTTAAAAAAGATAATCCATTACTTGAGAGGCTAAGCCTGGAGGATCACTTGAACCATGAGGTTCAAGACCAGCCTGGGAAACATAGCAAGATCCTATTGCCAAAATCATCATCATCATCATCATCATCTAAAAAGATAATACAGGTTTTTCTGAAACCAATAGTCTCTAGAATTTTCATTTAGTTATCCAAAAAACAAAAAATGCTTTGCAAAGAAATTGCATTTAAGTATAAAATCTACATGAAGATGTATTGATGTTTCTTATTCACATAAAAACATTCTCATATATTTTGATTAGATATTAGTTCTCAGTTTTACTCTGCTACTTTTCATTTCTTACCTTCTTCTCATTCATTATTCATCCATTAATTTATTCATCTACTCAGTTATTATTTATCTATCCATTTAGCTAGTATTACTATTATTATGTTTCTAATATTTATTGACTGTCTACTGATGCATACATACCTTACAAAGCACAGGATTTCTGGTCTTATGGACCACTTACTCTATCATGGCAGTAGCAAGAAATATATTTAAAAACATAAAACATGATGAGGCCAGACACAGTGTCTCATGCCTATAATCTCAGCACTTTGGGAGGCTGAAGCAGGGGGAATGTTTGAGGCCAGGAGTTCAAAACCAGCCTGGGCAACATAGCAAGACCCTGTCTCTACAAAAAATGTTTTAAAAAATTAACCGAGTGTAGTGACACGCACCTGTAGACCCAGCTGTTTGGAAGACTGAGGCAGGAGGATCACTTTAGCACAGGAATTCAAGGCACAGAGAACTGTGATAGTGCTTCTGCGCTGGGCGAGACCCTGTTTCAAACAAACAAATCAAAAAATGCCTTTGTCCATTTGTGATGCTGTAAAGGAATACATGAGGCTGGTTAATTTATAAAGAAAAAATTTTATTTGGTGCACAATTCTACAGGCTGTGCAAGAAGCATAGTGCCAGTATCTACTCTGGTGAGTGCCTCAGGATGTTTCGATTCATGGTGGAAGTTGAATGGAAGCTGGTGTGACACACGGCAAGAGAAGAGGCAAAAGAGAGGGGAGAGAGGTGCCAGATTCTTTTTAACAATCAGTTCTTGAGGGAACTAATAGCATGAGAATGCATTACCACAAGGACAGCACCAAGCCATTCATTAGTGATCTGTTTCCATGACCCAAGCACCTCCCATTAAGTCCCTTCTCCAACACTGGACATCAAATTTCAATGTGAGATTAGAGGGGACAAATATTCATACTTTATCAACCCACATGTCCCAGTTCATCCAAAACTTTTCTAATTTTAGTACTAAAAGTCTTATATGCGGGGAACCCTAGATGGTAGACATATAAGGCCAACAACATTTATATCACTATACCATATGCATAAATCGGTATTTTATAGCATAAGAGAGGTTAATCAATGTTATGAGAAATAAAGGTAGAAAAGGAAAGGAGGACAAGGAACTCAGGGATGGTATGTTGCTCTTTTAAATAAAGATGTCAACTTTAGTTAAGATGATTATATAGGGGCCACAAAGGCTTAAAATGTTGATGTAGTTAGATATGTAAATATATGAAGGAAGAATAAACTAGACAAGAAAACAGGAAAAAAACTAAACAGGAAATGAAAGAAGCTTAAAATGTGAATATACTAGTGAGTGAGAATATATGATACCCAGTTCTTTGTTTCTGTGATAGATCACTCATATTATAGACTCTAAGTCCATCCAAGTTGCGGAACTTGAACAATTATCATAATACTATAAGTAAGGGACTGGCAGTAGTGGGAAACTGCCAAGGGAGAAAGAGGGGTCACACCTCATCAACAAGGTTACCTGCATAATGAGCATTTGTATACTTAATCCTGAATTGTATCTTACATTAAAAAAGCTTAAAAACCAACAAAGTGAAGATATTTGCATATTCAAGAAATAATTAAAAGTTCATGTGCCTGTGGCAGAGTGGAGGAGTGAAACACTAGTAGGAGATGAGTAGAGATGACGGATAGCATTAAGGAACATTGTAAAGAATCAGGCTTCTGTTTTGAGTAAATGAGTTTTCGTTATAGGGTCTTGAGCAGAGAATATGCATGATCTGGCATGAGTTTTTAAAGGCTTACTTTACAATTATGTTGAAATTAGACTGGAAGAGAAAAGAATAGCAAGAGAGAAATCAGGTGAGAGATGGCTGTCAAGATATGTCTAGGAGAAAGAGGATGGTGCCTCAAACTAGGATATAGTCAGAGGAAATGATTGCATGATGGAATAAAATGCATTGTGTGAGAAATAAAAATTCAAAGATATCACCAGAACTTTGAGGAAAAGCAACTAGAAGCATGAAGATATGATCAAGTGAAATGGGGAAGAATTCTACAGTAATAAGGGAAAAGTTAGGAACCAGGAATGCTGTTTGAAAGTTAAATATATGAGAAAAGAAGCATGGGCTAGATATACAAACTGATTTATATTCCTTGTATTCAAAGCACAGAAGAAATAAAAGAGAAAAAGAAACAGGAATGACTATGAGAAGAAATAGATTATCAGGCATTTTTTTTTTCGCTGACACATTTTCATGTATTTATGAAACTAAATGTCCTTCCTAGGGATATTGACCTTGGTAATGTGAATATTATTGCTCTATTGATCCTGAACAGCTGTAAACATTTTTAGCACTATACCATATACATAAATTCGTATTTAATGGGTAAAGTGAGTCCACAGAAAGTGTACCTATTCAGCTTAAGAATTCATTGGTATTTATAATTTCTCAAGTTTTATATGCCATAAACAAAACATTTGAGGACAGCCCATTTTCAGCCCACACATTTATCTGGCCAAAAATGTGTATTTTCTCCATACATGCACACACACACACACACACACACACACACACACACACACACACACACCGTATATGTGTGTGTATCTCTGGAGAAATGAATTTCTTCTGACTTTTATTCATTTTTCTCCAATTGTTCACATAATAGTATATTAAATATTTAGGAAAAGTTTTGACAATAAAGTGATGTTTCTACCACTGTCTCTAGCCACTGAATATCTCTACATGTTTTACATAAGGCTCCCAGACTTTTGTCTTGCATCTTTAATATTAATTGTACCTTGCTTCCTCTTATACATTCATTGAAAATTTCACTCTTTTTTAGCTCCGGAATATCGAATACATTTATTGTTTCTGTTATATACATATTGTAAAAGATCAAAACGAAAATCCCAAAAGTCAAACCTCACTGTCTCATTCACAAAGAATAAAGGCTATGGAATCTCAAGGAAAACAAATATTTATAATTAAGATAGTCTGAAGATAAAGGGAAAATTATGGATGAGCCAAAGCTGAAACAGTTTGAAAGAGCAACAGTTAAAAAATTTCGCTTTTCATCAATTCCCAAATAAATGTGGGACTAATTTTTACACAGTGCACACAGAGGATCGCTTTGCATATGTGAAGATTGGAGGTATTTAAGAACACATGGCAGTTGAAAGAGAAATGAAGTATTAATAATATTGTGCCAAAATTTCAATTAATCGTGACTGAAATCAGAGCAGACATTACAGGGAAACAAGATTCTCCTTGCTGAACCCATATGTAGCTTCACCGTCTTTTGTGGCACAGTACTCCAAGAAGGCATGACCAGTCTAAGTTGTCATAACAACAGTGAAAAGCATTCATTGAATACTTTGTAATATGTGTAAGTTGGTGCACTCATTGCACTATGTTTTATTTATTTATTCTTTACAGCAATCCTTTTAGGTAAGCATCATTTCCATCCTTGTTCTATGTTTTAAGAAGTCCGAAACGCTCTTTATTTGTGCCTGAGTCTATCCAGGTTTGTCATATTCCTTCTGGCAAAATTCTGGGGCAAGCAGAACTGTCTGAGAGCATGCAACAGATTTTGAGCTCCACAGCACCACGGGAATGTCATAATCTGACAAGAATAACCTCCTAAGTTATATATTTATTTAAAAATTTGTTTTACCTTATAAAGTATTTTACACTTACAAGGAAATACAAACAATAATATAATACCCGTATATTGATCACTCCGATTTTAACTAGATTGTCTTTAAAATAGAGAAATCATTATGGATATGACTGATGTTCCCACCATACCACAAACCCACAGGGATTCAATTACAGGTTCCTAACTCTAAAAGACCCAAGGTTGTGTATTCACATAGTTGCTAAAATCATGACTCTTAGGGCCTAATTCCTGTATTTTCAACTACTACTCACATGATACATCTCATTCTAGGCCTGCGCACTTATTTCTCTGGCTTGAATATCCATCTTAATTTCTAATACATGGAGATTTATCATCTTAATTTCATGCTTGTCTCAATATTTTTTCTTAAGATTTTATTTATTCTTGTTTAAGGTAAGGAAAAACTCTATATCATATTGGTGTACATTGTATTTTTGAAATATTCTTTTATTATAAAAGAATTTTGAGGAAGAATATTATCGAACTTTTTATTGTTTCTTGAACACAATATGAGTTTCTGAACATATGAACAGCTTTATAAAATTAAATATTCTCCTCATGTGCTGAGTTTTATAATCAAGTGGCAAGGAAACTCCAATCACTTATTACTAGGTTCCATATTCCATGTAAACAGTTAGTGTCTCTTTTAATTGATACTGTGTACTCAGCATCAGTTATACTTCTTGGCATTTAGTAGGTGCTCAGTAAATATGTGTAGTTTTCATTGCCTGGGCAATTAATTATACAAAGGAAATAAAGTCAATTCTTTTTTTGTGATATCAAATATTATATAATTTCAAGAGAAAAAGCACGACAAACCTGGGTAGAAAGTAACTTAATTTTCTCCCCAAGGACACAGGTGCAGCCCTTGTCCAGAAAAATGGAAGTGGCATGGAGACAAATGCTACCAGTTCTATAAAGACAGTAAAAGTTGGCAAGGCTGTGAATATTTCTGCTTTGCTGAGAACTCTACCATGCTGAAGATAAGCACACAAGAAGTGCTGGTAAGATCCCGAGACTTTTCAATGTTTGAAGGATTACAAAAAAGAAATCATAAAAGAGCTAGACAGGAAAATTCTAAGGATCAAGGATATTGGTCCAAAGACTTTTCCACTTATTGCAATCAGGACTTACGTCTTATTACTTTGAATGATGTCCTGCAGTAGATAAAAGGAATTGTGTTCTCCACAAATACCCACCCTCAAAAATCGGAGAAATAGCTCTTCAAACTTCCTTCTCAATCAGGAAGCAAATGTAGAATATTTTAATGTTTTTGTTTTGGATAGAAAAACAATAGCATGAATATAATGTCAGAAAAATGAAAATAGCATTGCCTCTCTTCCATTCTAAAAAATAACAAAGCTAAATTAAGTGAAAAATATTTAATTAAATCATTACCATAATTTGCAAATATATATCTTACCTTCCAGAAGTTTACAGCCTAATATAGACTGGTCAAGGTAAATGTGAGACTAAAACTACAAATTGACATGCATTGAGTAAGTATATGCAATTGGAATACATTATTAATATTTAGTGATTATCCCCCCTTCTCTCATTTTTATTACTGGTTTTGAATTTAATTCCTCAAATGAGGTGACTAGTAATTATTTATCATTGTTTCTCTGGAATTTAACTGAAGTCTTGATGCAGAATAAGTTATCAATGCAAGGTTATTTAATTGAATTAAATGGTCATCTCACCATATCAAACTCTTAACATCATCCTAGGTACACCTTAATTTCTACCCACTTCCTGAATTCTGTGATGAAAGAAACTCTGCAATCTCTCTCATCTATTAAAATAATATTTTTTTATCCTTTGCCGATGGCTCATTTTGGCATACAGAGAGGTGATTTCTATGACTAAGGCAATGTCCCCTGGCATAAACCTTTCTTATACCCTTTGTTTCTTCTGCCTCCAGCACATACTGAGGACTCAGGTATAATTGAGCTATATTATATGAAATTATAGTACATTTTGTTATGAAAGCCATATAATTGTTTTCTGTCTTGAACTTTATATATTTATATAAATTTAAATAATTTTTGTGTGATTTATTTTTCAGAACTTTGAATTTGAAGGGTCCCCTAGCTAATTAAAATCAATAGTTTCAGCTACAGTTATTTTCACATGTCTACTCTATAACTATTGCCTGGTAATAGTTTGATTTATATTTTCAATAATCTCTCATTAAATCAATAGATTTCATTAATTATCTGAGGTGTTGAGGAAATAACAATAAAAAAGTGTATGTCCTTGAGGAATTCATATACAATGAAAAATAAAGACATAAAAATAGATAATTATAATACAATTTTTAGGTAATTTATATGTTAAAGACAGTGCAGAGTAAGACTAGAGAGAAGTATGTAAATACCTTTTAATGGGAATATATGTTCAATATGGATATTAGAAGAGGGATCATTATGTATATGATTATATATGTGTGTACATATATATTTGTATATACAAATTAAAAAATTTCTCTTCCTACTGCCATAAATCATCCTTACAAATTCTTCTTTTACTTTTTTTTCTTTTCCCAGGCATTTGTAAAGGTTACTATCTCATTTTTGCACTTTTCCCTCCAGTATTCTTCACTTGCTCAGAATCACTTCATATCTTTATGTAATCCTTTCTCCCATATTTTTATGTCAATCTTAGCATTTAATTATTTGCTTTAAAAATAATGGGTTATGTATAAATCTTGATTGATGTGATTTCTGGTTTCAGAATATTGATAAATAATTTCATATTTACTAAGATAAAATAAGTTATTTAACCTGGACACATTTCCAACAGACCTCAGACAGATGCCATTTTACTTAAGTGTACCATTATCTGGGTGAGGCAGGACTCATGTACTTGTATAAAATGTGCTGGCTGCCCCATACTTCTCTGTATGTATATGTAATATCACCTTTCAAGCTAAAGATTTTTCTTGTGTGCCTTTTACAGGAGTTTGCCATGCCTCAGAGCTACTCTGAGTTTTTCTACTCTTATTGGACAGGGCTCTCCCGCAGTGGCAATGACAAGACTTGGCTGTGGATGGATGGATCCCCTTACTCCTTTGAACTGTAAGCCCTCAGAACATTTTATGCAAAAGGCATTTAATAAAGAGATTTTGCTTGAGTGATAGAGATCAACAATTTCGTTCAGTAAGCATTAGCCAAACTACTGTGTTGTACTGAATACTGTGTTTGCAGGAGGATGTCCAAAGATGTTTGAATCACAGTGTTTACTCTTGAACAGCTTATACACCAGTGAAAGAGACAGATATATAGTGTTAGTAAAATATCAAGGACAGTTCTCTTGCCACTTTCAGAAATGTGTGTCTGGGATCCGCTGTGAATGAGAGAAGGAAAAGAGAGAGAGAGAGAGAGAGAATAGATGTTTTATGGATGAGTAAACTGAGAGAGTGAGAGAGAGAGAGAGAGAGAGAGAGAGAGAGAGAAAGAGAGAGAGAGAATAGACAGATGTTTTATGGATGAGTAAACTGAAGCCCAGGAGTCCAGGCTGTAATGGTGGTGGTTGTCTAAATTCACACAACTTGTCAATACCCAGATATAGGATAAAATCTCTGATCTCTGGGTTTTCTGTGAGTGAAATAGGGAGAACATCTTTAAAAATATCTCTGAGAATACACTTGCTAACAATATAGCCAGTAACATTATAAAACACTAGCTTTATTTTTGGAGTGGGCATTTAGATTGGAGTACGTGTGGTATTCCTTGAAATAGAAAAATACATTACATGTAAAGACTCCTATGTACTTTCCGGTACTTAAGATTTCATTTTAGAGATAAACTGTGATTAAATTAACATTTTCCCTCGTTTTTAAGGTTTGATATTATAATAGACGTCACCACCCCAAGAAGCAGGGACTGTGTGACGATTCTCAACGGAAAGGCTTTCTCAAAGGACTGCCGAGAGTTGAGGCGGTGTGCCTGTGAAAGGAGGGCAGCAATCGTGAATCCAGAAAGCCTCCTTTCCTCCCTGAACCATTTGGTGGAGGTGATCCACTCTCCAGTTTCAACTACCAATAACAAAGCTGAGACACGTGAGGCCAATGCAAGAGGTATTTGAGACACTGGCAGTTGGAAAATAATCAGGAAAGACTATCTCTCTGCCTAGTAAAAAAAAGAAGATGGGTTTTCTTGATTCCTGTTCCGAATCACCAGCATTTCTGAGCTTGGGCCATGTGCATCTTTACCAGTCACAAGAAGTCCTATTTACATACCACCAACCGGCCCCAGAAATGAATAATGTTATAATCTATCTTTTCGAAGTGGAGATAACTTTCTAGTTTTCTTTCTTCTCAGCATCTAATATCACATCTTCCAGTTTCATTGTCTTTCTTATACTCAGGGAAGTGAGAAACTTTTTGAAATAGACAAAATAAATGGAAGTAACATCCTTTGCCCCAACGATCAAATAGTCCATGAAAAATGAGCAGTTTCTCTAGTAATCAGGAGAAATCATTCCCAAGATCATGCAACCAAATGCACAAGGAATTCTTTTTGTTTGTTTCCGTTTATACTATTCCCTTTCCAATGTCTCAATAAAGACCCCATTTATTTTGTCTATGGCCTGCTTCCCAACTGGAATGTCTCTAGTTATGAGAATCACAATGTTTTATACCTCCCTGTGTCCACTGAGATTCCAATAATTGTCTGCTTTCCATTGGAATTTATCTCAGCAAAGAAATAGTCTCAACTCAGCTTTATATTAGAATTGCTATCCCTGATACTCCCTTCAGAAAAATTGAAGACCAGAGAAAAATGTCAGTCTCTGTATGTACACCTGTAATAGCCTGGTTTGGGTTTCTATTTTCTTTTTTTTTTTTTTTGAGTTAGAGTTTCACTCTGTCGCCCAGGCTGGAGTGCAGTGGCACGCTCACAGTCACCCCAGTGTTGACCTGTTGGGCTTTCCAAGAAGCCGAAACAACAGGCAGTGAGCTACCATGCTTGGCTAATTTTGTATTTATTGTAGAGATGAGGGCTCACCAAGTTGCCTGGGCTGGTCTCGAACCCACAGGCTCAGGCAATCCACTCACCTCGTCCTCCCAAAGTGCTGGGATTACAGGTTGAGCCACCGAGACCGGCTTTGGTTCCTATTTTCTTACATTTGATCCATATTTATACCTTACAGGTACTGAATATTTAATAATAATAATAAGTGTAAAAACTGTGAAGTGTGTGAATTTGGAACAGATTTGGGATTTGGGGAAAATTCGGTATGGAAATGCTTTTCAAAATATGATAGCAATCATTGAATTGATTGTGGCTTACTGAGAGTTTTTGGGGACTCTACAAGAATATTGATTATGTGATTATTTGGGAAGAATAAGTCTTTGAAATATATGTTACTTTCAAGAGGATGATTTTAACACTTTCATAAAATGAACTATTTTGAGGAAGGCTTATGGCATCAATGCGTGGTTGATGAGTAAATTGAATTGCAGCTGGACACATGATTTCCAGTCAGGTCATGAAAAATGAAAGAGAGATAGTTACATCTGCCTAATTGGCTTCTTGGTGAGGCACTTCTTTCTCAAGATGACTACATACACAAATATAACAGGGATTATTGCAAGTAACAACTTCATAACCATTGGTGTTACTGGTTTATAGATAAATCAATTTTAGGGTTTCAACACTAGAAAGGTTAATATGCCAAAAGTCTTTGTTTTTCAACAGAAGAAACTGAGTTGCCTCAGTTTTATTGTTAGTAAACATCTATCTCACACTGAAATGACATAAAGTATCAATCATATAAGAAAAAGAACACTTGTGTTCATTTTCATAAGACTTCATTTCATAAGGTTGGCGCTTAACAAAGAGTAGTTGCAGGTTCTTCCTCAAGAAATTTCCTTTCAGTTTTCTGTTGATTAGTTAAAAAATGTCTTAGCCTCTGAACAAATTCTGTCGATTTATTGTGTCATGCAGAGAGAACTGCATTTGTGGTTCAAACATGTGGGTTTTAGATCTCTTATTCTGACTTACTTATTGGGCAAGTCACTTTTCTTCACAGAGTTTATTTCATCAAGTATGAAGTGGAGATATTTACAATTTCTTCATAATGTTACTGTAAGTTGAAATCAAGTAAATGTGAAATGAGTTTCATAATCTGAATTTCAATATAAACTGTAAGGAGAATCAAGAAAATATTGAAAAAAGGATTTAGTGATTCATTTGAAATATAAGGAAATACAAATGTGCATAAACAAACTTTTTTGGAGATCTGTATTTGTGAACTAATTGTAGGGGAGTGCCGACATTGGGGAGCTAAGGATATTACTACTGAATATCTTCTATGATGAGTGCAATGCTTTGGTTTCTTTTCAGATCACATATATTGTAAATTGTTTACCTTTTACTATGTATGTCGAGTGTAGATGTTCCATTAAAGTAGTTAATATGCTATGTACACAACAACAAATGAGGATTAAGCCTGTGGTTAAACAATTGTTATTTAAGCCTTGCTGCTGCAAAAAGAAAATGTGGTTAATAAAAGAAATCCAAATGACTTTGTAAAATAGAGATATGGCGCTCATTTAAGTCTTGACTCCTAGAATACTGTGTAGCTGCAGTCTAATCCAGAGACTGCTGACATTTAAATGTCATTGCTTTGAACAGTCTAGCTGCCCGGAGAGTGAATGTTGAATGCTGTTCCCACTCCGAATCTGACACCTAAGGGAAGGTGTCACTTCAGATGGTGAGGAGAAAAAAAATAGCATATGTTTATTTGATATACTTTCTTTTTTTGAGCTTATTCCTCTTCATCTTTGTTCTCAATTCTCTTTTCAGTATAACAAATATCATAATACTGATCACAGTATGAAGAAACATTTCCAAACAAAAAAAGCATGACATAACATTACCTTCACACACTTTTTTTTTCAATTTTAAGAAAAGGAATTAATCATAAAATTAAATTCTAAAATCTGATTTGCTGAGAACAACATTCAGTTGAGAAACAGAGAGGAGAACAATATAACTTTGTTTTACAGCACGAGAAGACTTTTTCTCTTCTACCTCTTGTTTGTGTAGGTAGCTCTGAAGAAAGTGCAGAGAAAGTTAGACAAGGAGTAGGGCCTTTCCTGGTAGAGTCGAGTTCCCCAGGGCACACAATGAGCTATTTCTTTTCCTGAGGATATTGAACCAGCTCTCAGGATTTATCAACAGGAAACAGGTCATGAGTTCCCTAACAGCAGGAAGTGTGAGGAGGTTAATGGGGAACTTTTATTTTGGGGATGCAAGCAGAGTATGAACTAAGCAGAAGAGTCTAGTAAATTGTCTCAGAGCCAACCTTATATTTGGGAGTCAAATCCTCTTTAGAGGGATTCTTGTAGTTTTTGAAGACTACAAACAGCGGCATAATCTGATTTAAAATGAGGCATGACTTTTGTACAAGGTTCATTGTATTAATAGATTTTTAGACTCTAATAATAATATGTTATTATTCTATCGATATTATTTGAATGTTTTTCTTTTTACACATTTAATGTAATTTAACCATATGATGTAATAAAGCCTCTTAACATTTGTAAGAGTTGTTTTTTCCCCCTCTTCTCTTTTTCATTTTTTAAAACTAACTTGAAACTTAATGAAATTGATCAAAGATACCGGATTCATTATTGATAAAACTGGGATATGAAACTGGTTTTTCCAATGATTACTGTTTTTAAAAAGCCTTGGTACCATCAACCAAAAGCAATTTGATGCAGAGAAGAATCTCCCGCCTATAATATTTGTGTGGAAAGCAGTAATGCTGCTGAGGAAATCTGTAGGAGCTTCTGTAGGCTGCACTGCTGATAAAATTCTAATTTGTAAATACTACATATTATACTGGCAGGATGACATCAGCTAAAGGATGTTTGCCTCTTGTTTCATTGTACTTTTTCTATAATAATTATAAATGCTTCCTATCCTTTCTCTAAACATAGCTCCAAGACAATATTTTGAGGAATCTTGAAGACAAACAGTCTTTACTTTTGTAAAAGCTGCTATTGTTTCTCTTTTATTCCAGGTTATTATATTCAGCTGCTGGCTGTCAGTTGTGAAAACTAAAGACAGGAGGGAATTTATACTGTGTTTTCCCTGCTATCCTCCTTTTCCAGGTTCAGCAGAAAACTAGAGGAAAGTCTCTTTTATTTAAACTCCCACCATTTAAACTCCATGTCGAGGGTAAATAAAAGCAAAACATGCTCTTTCAAATCTTAAGGCCCTTACCTAAGGTAAAGGGACCTTTTGGTAAAAAGACTTTTAGTTTTATTTAAATGATTTCCACTGTTTCAGTGCATTAGGGTTTATTTTTACTTATTTAGGTGACGCCTTCATTCTTAGGAAGATGATAACGTAATATATCTCAGCTACTCCTTTTGAGAAATGAAGGATTAAATAAAATGTTAAATTTAGTAAATATCAGTTGAGAACTTACTATGTGGTAAGGTGGGGTTCTAGAGATGTGAGTAGTAAAAAGTAATATAATAATAATTATGGAAACTTTTCTTCCTATAGCTCACAAGTTACTTTGAAATTAACTGTCTCCTGGGAACAAGATAGGCTCTTCAAGGAGCCTGCAGACTTAGGGAAGTGGTTGTCTACAGATTTATTTGAGGAGGATTCATAACTTTAAAACAGATATTCTCTTCATAGAGTGGCTGATCTGTTACCCATACTTTAATAATCAATATTCCTGCAGCATGGGCAGGAAAAGGTATCATTTTTAGCTGGAATACACAGATAAATTTGATGCTTAGAAATGACTGATAGCCGTGCTCAGTGGCTCAGCCTGTAATCCTACGCTTTGGGAGGCTGAGGTGAGTGGATTGCCTGAGCCCGCGGGTTCGAGATCTGCCTGGGCAACTTGGCGAGACCTCATCTCTACAATAAAAATAAAAAATTAGCTGGCCGTGGTTGCGTGTAGTTCCCGCTACTCGGAAGGCTGAGGCGGAAGGATCACCGGAGCCCAGTAGGTCGAGGCTGCGGTGGCCGGGAGTGTCCACTGCCCTCCAGTATGGGCGACAGAGTGAAACTCTGACTCAAAAAAAAAAAAAAAAAAAAAAGAAATGACTGATGATGTGCTCCAGGTATAGCAAACACTGATAGAATATTCAATTGTGTGCAAGACACTATTATATCTACTATATATGTTTATGATAGAATCCTTAAACAATATTTTCAAGTAAGTTTTATAATTGTTTTACAATGAGGAAATTAAGGCATTAAAAGTGCTGGAATGTTAACTTTGGGTCCAGACCATGAGCCCTATGATGTGTGATGAGATGGTCTAGGAGAAGGAGGATTGGAGCTCACTGTTGTTCTTTCCTGGAGGACACACTGATATCAACATCCTGACTGTTTCTTCCACTTATGTGAAATTCTCATAGATCACCTCTATGATAGAATTATGCAGTTCTAAAAAGAGCATTTCTGACAGACTGCAGATAGAATTCTGCCTTCTTTCCAATTTATAATCCATCTTTGTGTCCTCCCTACTAGTCTGATAATATAATGTTTGGAAACCCAGAAAATGTACAGACTGATCAAAGGAAAAATTTATTTACTTATTTAACAGAAAATCAGTCAGCTATAATTATACTACTTCCCTCAATGACCTATAGATTTTTTGTGTGTGAAATTTACTCTACACCTAAAAAAAGTATATGTATTTTTTTCAGCTTTTTCTCACCTCCTTGGGATTTTGTTCTCTTAAAATTGAAATCAATTTTATTCTTGGAAATCTGAATAATGTCAAATGAAATATGGAAGGTACTGAAGAACATTACCAAGTATAAATGCAAAAAAAAGTTCTGAGTCCCTGGTAGCTAGTTTTGTTGCTCACACATTGGTTTACTTTCATACTTGTTTTTGGGCTTTTAGTGGCTGATTTCCTATGACTTGTTCCAAATACTAGTGTGATACATCACTTTAAGCACAATTTCCTTCAAATAGAGACTCTTAAGGCATACTTCTCACAGATAAAATACTTCCAGTTGCTGCAGTTAGCTGAAAAAAGGGCGGTGTTTCTGAGGTATCCACAAAACTGGTTAGTTGATTGAGACTTATCTGTTGGCAACCTGGAAAACAAGTCAGTGTTTCTGAGATTAGATTTGAGGAGTTCAGTGATGTTCTCTTGGATAACTACTGAGAGGTATACAGGTTTTTGCTTGTTTTATTTTGTATTAATAAATACAAAATGTACCTTCTTGTGATGGTTTCTTCTCCTTTTTTAGCAACAGCTCTTTTCTCTCAATAAAAGATATTAATATAATTCAAGCAGCACATTAAAAAAATTTTAAACACATGGATACACAAAGACTGACTCTAAATTAGAATCTCTTTCCTGACTTTTAATTCTCAAAATACTAAGGTACTTGATTCTGCTCACCCATCTTCCTAGTTTCATCTGAAAAGCTTAATATGGACATTGCTTTATAGTTATTCCAAATTTCCCCCTTAGCACTCCCTAAACATTAAGTAATACAAAGAAAATGCACTTGATAATTATATCATATTGTTCATTCAAATCCTCAAATATTAGTGTGAATATTTTAGAAAATAGTAGCAGCAGGGTTGATGTTTAGATACTGCTCTTAATAATATTACCTTTAATTCCTATCAGTACCCTGTAAAATTATCATTCTGCCTATGTCTCCTGGAGAAATTCCAAGGTATAAAATAAAATAAATTTTGTATTCCTTTGTGTTTCTAATTTTTCTTGTAGCATGTCACTCAGACTTACAGGCCAGGGGAAGGAGTGGAGCCATCTTGCCAAAGCCAAGGTTTGCTGAGTCCATCTTGAGTCAGCCCCACCCAGTAATCATTGCTCTCTTTGGCCTTTCTTAAGCTGCCAATGATAAAATCCTGTAAGAAATAAAATCTTAACTGTGAACTGAGAAAAAACACAGCTACAATGAAATATATAGTGTGACATTTTACCTACCTAGAAATGAATGGAAACTTGAGAGCTGGAGTAAGCAAGAGGAGTATTTTTTTAAAATGAGAAAACATTTATAGGCTCTTTTCTTTTTATGTATGATCAATGTGGAAAAAATAGGCAACTGGGATCAAAATAGTTTTAAAAGATTCAGTGTCTGGCAGGGAATAAGTACATGTTGAAAAAGATGTTATAGGCCAGGATAGGTGGCTCAGCCTGTAATCCCGGCACTTTGGAAGGCCGAGGCGAGTGGATTGCCTGAGCCCACGGGTTCGAGACCTGCCTGGGCAACTTGGCGAGACCTCATCTCTACAATAAATAAAAAATTAGCCGGGCGTGGTAGCGCGCACCTGTAGTTTTGGCTACTTGGAAGTCTGAGGCAGAAGGATCGCCGGAGCCCAGCAGGTCGAGGCTGCGGTGGCCGGGAGTGTGCCACTGCACTCCAGTCTGGGTGACAGAGTGAGACTCCATCTCAAAAAAAAAAGATGCTATACTGAAACTTCATTATCAGAAGTAAAACTATCCTTAATATCACAGACCACATAGACTAACCTTCCCCAGTATACATTAACATAGAAAATAATATAGGGGATTTCAAAAGCAACTTAATTGTAGGAACATTTTGTTGGAGGAAATTTTTCTAATTATTGTCTTCATATTTTTATGGAAAATAACTTTTTGAGCCCAGAATTTTCTTTTTAGTTTATTGTATATTTTTAAAAAATTGTTTTCCCATTATTCTTATAGAGATGAACTCCAACTGATTACTGAAAATAAGAAATATAGGTGGGATACAGTGGCTCATGCCTGTAATGCCAGCCCTTTGGGAGCCCAAGGTGGGAGAATTGTTTGAGGTCAGAAGTTCAAGATGAGGCCTGGGCAACAAAGCAAGACTTGGTATGAAAAAAAAAAAAAAAAAGCCGAATGTGGTGGACACCCGTAGTCCCAGCCATTCAGGGGGTTGAGGCAAACAAGAGGATCACCTGAGGACAGGAGGTCATGGCCTGTGGTAAGGCCTGATCGTGCCACTGACTCCAGTCTGGGTGACAGAGAGAGACCTCCCAACCCCCTCCCCCAACAGTAAAAGAAAAATAACAAATATACATTCTTTATAAGGTCAGATTTATAGTTATGAATTATATTTTATGCATATTTATGGTAGAATGATTTCAGGGATACATCTAATTACTTACTTGTTAAGATGTTAATAAACTTAGTTTAATGCCAATTAAATATTTTACTTAGCAAATATATATTTTTGTAGACCTATCCATTTCATTGCATGACCCCTACATCTTTTATTCTTTTTTTCTTTTTTGAGTTGGAGTCTCACTCAGTCGCTCAGACTGGAGTGCAGTGGCTGCTCCCGGCCACCACAGCCTCGACCTGCTGGGCTCCGGCGATCCTCCCGCCTCAGCCTTCCGAGTAGCCGGAATTACAGGCATGCGCTACCACGCCCGGCTGATTTTTTGATTTATTGTAGAGATGAGGTCTCGCCAAGTTGCTCAGGCGTGTCTTGAACCCGCGGGCTCAGGCAATCCACTCACCTCAGCCTCCCAAGGTGCGGGATTACAAGCTGAGCCACCGAGCCTGGCTACATCTTTTATTCTTGATGTTTACAAGATTATCATAGGTTATTATAGTTCCTACAGCACTGAAAAATTACATATTTAAAGCATATATAATATATAATGTATGTATATCTTAGAGTGGATTAGCATGTCACAGAATGGCATTTTCCTTGCTCCCTCCCCTTTTTTATTAACCAAGAATATAACTAACATATTCTTCTTGATTTCTGGATAACCATCTTATTTTTATGTTTCCCGTATTAAAAGGAAAATAAGCGCTATTCCTAGTTTGACTCTTTTGAATCTTTTTTTATAACAAATATACCACTGCTATAGAATATTAAGAAATTTTACCTTAGGAGAATATGTTTTTTGTTTTAATAAGTAACATGATATTTTTAGAATAATGTGAGACCATAAAACTGTAGTTACCATTTCTTCTTTGCTGTCTATTTGTAGCAGCATGGAGCCTTCCTTCAAACAATTCTCTTTACTGTGGTGCCAAACTTTCCAGATTTGAAAGATATGGTAACAACTTTCTCCATTGTGAATCCAATTGTCTGGACAAGGGCTACAGTTATTGGCTTTGAAAATAAACATTTTAATTTATTGTCATCATTGTAAAATATTAGTGACATGTCTCCCCAAAATAACCCCTTGCATTACCCCCAGAAAAGTTGAACACTGTGACAGAATGGTTCACATGATGAAGCATGCAACAATTTCAACTTCTCTGAGACTGAATACAGTAAGATATACTTAATATTTTTTACCTGCAATAGAAGCTTTAAATAGTTTAAAATGAAATTAATTTGAGAATATCTTTGCCACAATTTTTCTTCTTCTATAAAAATTGATCTGATTATTCAAGTTTTGTCATTCTTTCCTTCTTTGATTCACATAGTTGGGTGTCTTGTTTGTTTATTGTTTCAAGTCTGTTACTCTTACTGCCCCAATTTTTCTAGGAATGTACCAGACCATTAGATGATGATGTTTAAGTTCAGAGTTAAATTCAGACCCTTTAGTTGATGTTTAAAATCAGAGTTAAGCAAGAATATATTTTGCTTATAAGTAAGAGAACAAATAATGCACAGGAGTGATTTGAAAACATGCAGGTGAAGAAAATTGAAGAATGTAAATGAACAATATGCTTATTTTAGGATTTCAATATAAGTAAGTCTTAATGTTTAATCAGTTTTATGGAAACTGTCTTAAGAAAGAATGAATTACAAAAGAAGAGTGATCAAATGTATAAAAGGGGAACCAAGGTGCTAGAGTTTGACCAAATGGTTCTGATACAGTTTTATAGATGGAAAGACACTATAACTTCCAGAACTCTGGTTTCTAGAGAAAGGTCTTCTATTTAGAATAAGAAATCATTCATTAGAAACTTCCAGGGCTCAAATGTTTAGTGCTTTACAACTCTTCAATATCCTTTGTTTGGAATATATGCTAATTAGTATCCTGAACAGTGGTAAATTTATAGTATCATGTTGACAGTAGTATTTGTAGGGTTGGAGAAAATGTTGGATTTGTAGGTTTCCAAAATGGATATTGTATTCAAGGGTAGTGACTCAGAGGTAGGCTTCACTCAAGCTTGCAATAGCCTGCTATGGGTACAAAAACATTTTTGGCACGCCAGTGGTTTTTCCAACTTAATTAAATTTAAGTCAGAAGGAACTTTGATAGATTTTTTTACCTCTCTCTTTGACAATTACCTAAATGGTATTCACTATAGAAAAGTTAATTCTTTAAATTATAAGTATTATGAAATGCAAAGTAGCCATAGAACACATGTCATATGATACAACAGGTAGAAAGTGACTGTTTTATGTTTTGTATGCTTATAAGCAAAATGAAAAATGAAACTGAAGTAATTTTACAGATTTTTTGTTTGTTTGTTTTAGTCAGAGTCTCATTCTGTTGCCCAGGCTAGAATATAGTGGCACACTCACAGCTACTGCAGCCTTGACCTGCTGGACTCGGGCAATCATTCTGACTCAGCCTTCCTAATAGCTGGGATTACAGGTGTGCGCCACCACACCTGGATAATTTGTTTGGTTTATTGGAGATACAAAGTCTCACCAAGTTACTCAAGCTTGTCTCCAACCCCTGGACTCAAACAATCCTCACGCCTTCACCTACCAAAGTGCTGGAATTATAGGCATGAGTCACTGTGCCCAGCTAGAATTTTTAAAAACAGCTGAATCCTGCATTGTTGTAAAAATGTTATGGTAAATACTGTCATTTTCAAAATGAATTTTTCTGCTCAAAGTGATCTAAACTTGAATCGAAAGCAATATCTAAACTAAATGTATTAGGAAATTTACAACTATATTTAAAGACACATTGAAAAATGTGAATTACTATATAACACTATAATTTTTAAAAAATCTGATCGACTAACTGTACACATACCACTTTGGCACTTGTCAGTATATTTCTTTTAGTTGCATTTTTTGGGAAAAACTTGGTGTTTCCTACATAAATAAGATTAAACTGCAAAATTTTCAAAATTATGTCTCCTCTAATGTAAATTCCTGACTAACATTTTTGCAGAAAACAAAATGTGTGTCACATTTTATTTTAAGAAATTGGTGCATATATTTAAATCTACACAGTGGATCCTGATTTATATCAATTACCTCTACTGAAAGAGCTTTGCCTCAAGGCTTGGCAATGTTTCATCTGATGGGCATGACTTCTCTTCCACTGTGTGCAGTTTAGCAGTGCTGTGTGCTGTTGCATGAGTTTTTCTTGCTGCTGCATTGCAATGGTGGTTACCTGGAACACTTCAAACAATAACAATTATTCCTAATAATATATTGACATTTTATAACAAAATAATTCAACACAGATGAAAGACAACTATAAGTTGCAGATTATTTTTAAGACTTGAATTTGCATTATTTTAGAGTTTTGGTTAAAATTTACCTTGTTCAGGAATCAAAAGCTACAAAGCAAAAAGTCTCTTTGCCATTCCTGTTTCTTGATATGCCCAATTTCACTTCCCCAAGGCAGTCAGGCTTACCAGTTTTTAAAATTCTTAAGCAGATATTTTAAGTTTTACAAATGAAATGAAATGCAATTTTACAAATGAAAGTAAATGAATATGAAATTCCCTTTCCTCCATTACACAAAGGAGAACAATATGTTTACATGGTTTTTGAACCTTTTATTTTATAGTTTAAAATATGTATAGACACATTGCCATATCGATACATAAAGAACTCTTTAAAATTTTTATTATAAGTGTATAAGATTTTATTGCACGAATGCATCATGATTTACTTTATTAGTTTTCCATTGCCTTTTAGACTATTGTAATCTTTTTGTATTACAGGAAGAAATATAGTGTAAAGAACCTTAGTCATACAAAATTTCACACGTGAGCAAGTTTATTTTTAAGATAAGTTGCTAGGTCAAAGTTGGTATACATTTCAATTGTATTAGATATTTCCAAATTACCCTCCATAAGTGTTGTTATAAATGATATCTTAAAATTATTTGAATTTGCAGTTTTCTTTTTATGTTTGAGGTAGAAACTCTTGTCATAAAAGTCAGATGTATTTCTTTTTTATGAAGTGTATAATTTTATCCTTTTAAATTTTTTCCTCGTTGAGCTTCTAGTCTTTTCATTATTGTTTCATTGTGATTTTAGAATGAATTCCCACAGGCCTGGAATCAGACCGAACAGTGTTTCTAAAGTTCCCAGATGGCACTGACCTCTAGACAAGGCATCAAACATACTGATTCACAATGTAGCTTTGAAATCACAAGTCTGAGAACTATGAGGCCAGATTAATATAGCTTGTCAGCATTGTTTATGGATGACACTCTGATTGACTCTTTGCCCTGGTTACAACGAGACCCTGAGAGAGAACTCTCTAGCAGAGGCTGGTTCCCTAGCAGGAATATGCCTAGGTCAACAATTTAGAAAAGTCTCCAAGTGAGAATCCCTTTTGGGCTTCTTGGTACGAAGTTGTTCTAGGTACATGTCAGTGGCTGTGATCCAAGAGAGAAATTGTGTTCTGATAGGCCACTTACAGACTTAGGAAAAGGTGCTTATACATGGCCTCTTCAGACCCCTCTTGAGACAGACTATGGCTGATACATATCCTTAGTTTAATGCTGTGTTATTTCATAATACACTGTAGATTTATAAGCACTGTCATTTTGGATCCAATGAATCTCCTTTTGCAACCAACTCTATTATCTGATACTGCTGGTGCACTTATAATGAAGTCAGACTTTTGCATGATATGAGTTACAGTTGAATTTCCCAGCTTGTCTTTTGACTTTGCTTGTGGTAGTTTAGCCCACATAGATCCAATACTTTTGAGTCAATTTTAACAAAATAATTGTATATGTGAGATTTATTCTTTTATATTTTTTATGTATATTTTGATGTAGCTAGAATTTATTTTGTTGTCTTATTTCATTTATTAAATAACTCCCCTCATACTCTTTTAGTTGTCACCTTTAATTTACTATAAATTTCTAATAAAATATTTGGGTTTATTTTCGCTTTCATTATATTCAAGATATCTACTTACCCATTCACATGTCAGTACCACGTGGCTTTAATAATTTTAGCTTTATAATTTATTTCAAAATTCTGAACTTTGATATTATTTTTCATTTTTCTTTTCTTTATTCTGGGTCGCTTATTAAGCCAATTGTTTTTAAAAACTATATTATGGAGTATCTACTAAGTTATAGTTTATTAAATAGCTTTCTTAACAAAGATATTGATTTTTTTATTCAATTTGATTTCTATAAAATTTCTTGAACTTGTAGCTTAATGTTTTTAATAAACTTTAGAATATTTTAATTTAAAAAGTCATATACTATCACTTTTGTCCAAAGCTTTCTACTGCTTCTGAGTTGCTATTACACATATACCACTGTTTCTCATGTCTGCTATGTTTTTCTCATCCTCTTTTTTATACTTTGCCATCTTTCCATAACTCCTTTTTTAAAATTCTGTATGTTATCTCTGCTTTATATTCTACTCTTCAAGCTGTGTAGATATATTCAATTCTTTTCTGGGAGGAGTGTAGTATAGGTCATAACTGTTGCAGTTTGTTACAGTTTTACCGAGTTATACAAAGCACATGTTTAATCGGCACAGTCTGACACATTTTCACTCATATATTTATGCAGTAAATCATCTCTACAATCTAGTTAATGAACAAAGTCATCAAAAAAAGTTTCTTTGTTTTGTTTTTCAATTTTTTATGGGTTCATAATAGTGTACTTATTTATGGGGTATATGTGATATTTTGATACAAGCATGGAATGTGTAATGATCAGTCCAGGTAATTGGGGTATTCAGTCATCGTCTCAAACATTGATCATTTCTTTGTGTTGGTAACATTCCAAATCTACTCCTTTAGTTATTTTGAAATATAAATAAATTGTCATTAAATATAGTCACTCTGTTGTGTTACTGAATTCTAGATCTCATTCCTTCTATCTAACTGTATTTTAATACCCATTAAACAACCTCTCCTGTCATTTTTTAACTACAATTTTATTTTGATGTAATTGTGGATTCACATGCAGCTGTAAGAAATAATATGGAGAGATCCCAGGTACCCTTTTCACAGTTTCCCAACAATAGTGATATCTTGCAAAATTATAGTTCAATGCCACCACCAGGATTTTGACATGGATACAATCGAGTTGCACAGTTTCGCCATCACCATGAGAATCATCATACTGTCCTTTTATAAGTACAGTCACTCCCCACTTGCCCTGATCCCTTCTTAAGTTCTGGTAATCATGAATCTATGTTTCATTTCTATTTCTTTCATTTCAATGATATTGTATAAATGAGATCTTGCAATATGTAACTTTGTGATTGGTTTTATTCACACGGAATAATTTTAATGAAGATTCATCCAAATTGTTGTATAAATAAATAGCTCAGCTATTTTTTATTGTTGACTAAAATGTCATGATATGGATTATCATAATTTGTTTAAACATTCACCCACTAAAGGACATTTGGGTAGTTTTCAGGTTTTGATCATTACAAATAAAGCTGTTATAAACAGCATGTGCAGATTTTTGCGTAAACATACACTTTAATTTCTCAGGGGTAAATGCTCAGGGTGCAATTACTTATAAGTTATAAGGAAATGTCAAGCTTAGGTTTTAAAGGAATGACTACAGTATTTTCTAGAGGGGCATTTTACATTCTCACCAGGAATGGGCAAGTGATTTCCTTCTCTTGTTTCACAAGCATTTGATGCTGTCACTAGTTGTTATTTTAGCCATTCAGATAGGTGTGTACTGATATCTCATTGTGACTTGAATCTGCTCTTCCTTAATAGCTTATGATGAACAAAGTTTCTTATGCTTATTTGATATTCATGTAACCTCTGGGTGTTTCCTTAGCCATGTTTTATTTTCTAATTCTATTTACTGTTGAGTTTGAGAGTTCTTTGTATTTTCTAGATACTAGTTATTAGCCAGATATTGACTTGCAACTATTTATCCTGTCTGTAACTTGCTTTTTATTGTCATCCTCAAGCACACATTATTAATTTTGACGAGGTTAACCCAGGTTATCAAATTTTCCTTTCATTAATTATTTTTTTGATGTTATGCTAAGAACTCTTTGACTGCCCTTAGATACTGAAGATTGTCTCTTACATTTTCTAAGTTTTGTAGTTTTATGCCCTACTCTTATGACTGATCTATTTTGAGTGAATTTTTTTTATTTTTGAATAAGAATTAGATCAAATTTTATTTATTTATTTATTGGCTGATGGATGTCTAATTTCTCAGCACCATTTGTTGAAAAGGCTATCCTCCTTCACTGAATTGATCTTCAGCTTATGTCAAAAATCATTTGGGCATATTTGCATTAGTCTATTTCTGGATTCTCTATTATATTTTATTGCTGCATATCTGTTCATGAATACCTCTTGCTATACAAGTTTTGAAATCAAGCAGACTGATTTCTCTCAGGTAAGTAATTGGCTTAAAATAAATGTATGGTGTATAAGTAATTATTAAATTGAAGGCATTAAGTGGACATATTATGTGTTGGGAGAGAGCATGGCATCAAGAAAATTAATTAGTTAATCAAACACTTATGAAAAATTATAACATCAGCCAGACCTTTTGGAGTAAAAATCAAATCTTTTAGAGAGAAATAGAAAAACAAAAGAGGAAAATAAATACATAGAACTATAATTTTCATTTTTTAAAATCACAAAATGGAGGTAACCAAGACCACAAAAGGAACATAATCAAGACAGGCTAAACTTGTTTGTGATAACTATACTAGCCACATTTCCCTCCTGCCATGGTGCCACTTTTGGATAATAGATTGTTAGAAAAATGCACATGAAATGAATATTTATTAAGGTTGGTTTACATAAGATCCAGTTAGCTCTTTCACAAAGGAAGACTTGGATATAATTTTGCTATGCTCTAATAGAAAATAATTGTCATGAAGAAAGATCATTTATATGTGAAAAAACAATTTGCATGTGCACTTTATCTCCCCAATAACTGGTCAAGTCAGTATATACAATAGAACCTTTAATTACACATCACATATCCTGATCTGATTTACTCATCAATATTGTTGCTGAGTAGAAAGACCAGAAGTCAAGAGCAACAGACTAGAGAAGGAAAATGTTTATGCCCTATTCAACTGTGGTTACTTAGGAAACCTAGGCTGACAGTTGCTTGAATTATTTTCCCTCTTCTTAGCAAAAGATTAACTCTAACCAGAGTTGAGAGTAGGACAGGGCAGTTCTTTATTTTACCCTGTTAATAATCTGGCAGGTTATTAAAACATGATGATCTTCCTTTTAGAAATTTGAAGTATAATTCTAAACTGTTATTTAATTTTTTTCTAAATTAGCTATATTTTGTAAGTTATTCTTGTTTTATTACTATCTGAATAGCTTGTACTGCATAAAACTGCAACGAAACTTGAGTAAGGGAATTGAGACTCTTTAGGAGTTTCACTCCAAATGGGAAGCAAAATACAATCACTTTATTGGTGTAGAGGTTGTAATCAATTTGCAACAAGTGAAGAATAAATACAAAAAAATTATTACTTGGATAAAAAGAAGAAAAACTTTTAAAGCTCCCCAAATAATATTTGTTATATGATAATTTACATCACACCTAACTGATAAATTTAAATAAATGACAATGAGTAGTAAACAAATAAAAAAACCTAATTTCTTTGAAAATATTTTGCGCTACAATTTTTTTAAAATAGAAAAATTAATGAGCATAAGTAATATTATTAAAAAAACAGAAAATGCAAAATAGTAAGAAGCTAGAGATTAGATCTACTTACTTTGAAATCTACCACTCAGGTATGATTGTTAATATTTAGCTTATAACCTTTGAAATCCTTTTCTATATATGTATATAAAATATATGTCTATACACACATACATATATTTGGTATATATGCATAACACAAGTAATATACATTGTAATTTTTAGAAAATTATATTTTTCTACAAATGACTTTCTAAAAATTTGCTTCTTTAATGGGAAAACATTGCATAACCATACCTCCATGTCAATAATAATAGTTCTAGAAGATTTCTTAAAATTATTACATTGTAATTTTTATATAAATATAACAATTTTACTAGTCCTCTTGTCAGATATGTATAAAATTAATTGTAATGATATATGCAAACAATTTGTCATTAGCACTTGCATTACTTTAGAGTTATGATACTTTTAAATAGATATAGTTTTCATTTACTAGTTTTTGTCAGAAACATATCTCTTTCTAAAAAATATATGTAATTTAAGTATAAGTTTTGGCATTTTCTTACATTGTAAGTTTTCATGAAGAGAACTGGAGGTAACATTCGTCTTTCATTGAGGTAAAACACAGATATATAACTTACATCCTTTTCCACTTTTAAATGTACAATTCAGAGGTAATTATTACATTTAAATTCTGCTTTCCTCCTTTATGGATGTAACATTCTTTATTAAAAATAGAACATAATTTAAATGAAATACTTATTAAAATTAAGCACAATTTTCATGTCTTAAAGCCTACTGGATATAGCATAATCTATAACTAATAGGGACATTAGGTTATTATAAAGGATATAGAAAGTGAAGATGCTACTTCTTACTTAACAAATTTTTCTTTTTGAAAACTGGTCTTGTTTCCAAAATCTCTTAAGTGCTAAGAATGTATGAGAAAACATAGACAAAAGCCAGATGTCGTGGCTTATGCCTATTATCTCAGAACTTTGGTAGTTTGAGGTAGGAGGATTGCTTGAGTCCAGGAGTTCAAGATCAGCCCGGGCAATATAGTGAGATTTCACCTCTACAAAAAATTTTAAAAATTGCCAGGCATGGTGGCTATAATCTCACCTACAGAGGAGGCTGATGCGGAATGATCACTTGGGCACAGAAGGGACAAAGCTGCAGAGCCATGATTATACCACTGCACTCTAGCCTGGTTGACAAGAGTGAGACTACAACTTGAAAAAAGAAAGAAAGAAAACCTATCCAAGTGATAATGCCGATAACAGCAAAAACAAAAATTAAAAAGTCACTACCTTTGAATAAAAGTCAAACAAAAATGTACTTTACATTTATATAGCAATGTTTCATTTTATAAGTATATATTTTTAGCTATTAAAACAAAATTTAAAAATCAAAAACTTCTACTTGTAAGAATTTTCCAGAAATTACTGAAAGTCTTAAGCACATTGTTTTTTCATCTAGCCTCCCTTTATCCTCACCAAAGTAACATTTTCTTCACACAAATTCTGTTTGGGGAGTTTAAAAAAATGTTTGAATGCATACTACATTCATGAGATTAAAACTTAAAAAAACACAAAAAGTAAAAACTAAAATATCTTTTTCATAGCATTGTCCCATCTGTCTCATTCCTCTTGTTCCCACTTTCAGGCATTTCTTATATAACCTTCCATTGTTACTTTATGTGAATTCAAGAAAATATTCTTTCTTAAGTAAATTGTGGCATCGATAAACATGATTTTGAATGTTGCTTATTTTTCATTTATCGATGTATCACGAAGACATTTCATATTTCATATATATAGAACTTCTTTTTCTTTATTTCTTTCTTGTTTTGGTTCATAGTATTAAATTATATAGATGTACCAGTATTTATGTAAATGGTCTCCTATTAATTGTGGGCATCTGATCTATTTCCAACCTTTTTTTTTCTTATTACTTCATGTGTAGGTTTACCTGTAGAATAAATTTAAGACGTGATATTGCTGGGTCAAAAGTAAATAATACAGCTTAAGATAACTCAGAATTTCTTAGGAACATGACTGTTATGGTTTATTTAAACAGATTTGATGTACTTGACAGAGAAAAAAAATCAAAATCACGTATACACAGGACAAGTTTTATTGAGATCATGAAAAACGTACAGTGACTAAACATTATTAGTATTTGTCATATATTTTTTGATTATATCAATTGGAGACTATAGCTTTTTCCTTACATAGAAATCAAATTATATATCTCTTCACTTAACAATAGTGTTTCTTGATGTTGCATTTCAATTGATTATGTTTTTTGGTTGTTGTTGTTGTTTTGAGTTGAAGGCTCACTCTGTCGCCCAGACTGGAGTGCAGTGGCCGCTCCCGGCCACCGCAGCCTCGACCTGCTGGGCTCCGGTGATCCTTCCGCCTCAGCCTTCCAAGTAGCCGGAATTACAGGCATGTGCTACCACGCCCGGCTGATTTTTTGATTTATCGCAGAGATGAGGTCTAGCTGCCCAGGCGGGTCTCAAACCCGCGGGCTCAGGCAATCCACTCACCTCAGCCTCCCAAAGGCGCAGGATTACAGGCTGAGCCACCGAGCCCGGCGATTATGTTTTTAATCTAAAAATTTTTTGTATTTTAAGTTTTTAAATCTTCTTAGTCCAAATAGTTATTGTTTGTAAAACAACAGAGAAGTTCATTATATAGAATTAATATTTAAAGCATATCTTTTGATATTTTTAATGTGAGTTAAATATGGGGTACTATATTGTAGAGTGAGTATGAATGAAGAACAAAGCTTGGTAATATGTCATTAAAAGTTCTCAATTATGTACAGAACAAAATGAATTAGTAGATATTAATTGACTTATCTGTTTGGTCTCTTGCAACTAGTTGGTTTTCAGTGTGTTGGATAAACAAATATTTACTTTGTGTGCTTTAAAAAAATATGAACTAGCATAAAATATTTTTTAAAATAAAGTGCGGAGAGAGGGTACAGAGAGAGAGAAGAAAAGACTTTTGGAAGTTCTAACATTTCTACTGGACCATGAAATTTCTTTTGAGGAGACAGACAAGGTAATAATTACTTCTTAATAATTCTTAAAGCAGTCCTTTAAAACCGAGTAGGAAACTGAAGCTCATAAATTACATGTGCAAGATCAAACTTCTGTACTTTGTGAAAGCAAATCTGAACATTTCCTTACTTATTCTCCAAGCTTGTCATTCCTTCTCTCCAGCTGATGCTGACTAGGTAGAAACATAATTTGCCAAGCCATACAAAAAAGAAAAATTACTCCAACAACAAGCTTCACCTTTGTCTTTATGACCATATTTTCTTAGTGCTAGTAGGAATAATGGTAGAGGTTCATAGTTCTTTTATTAGAATCTGAAGTTTGGTAATTATTATATTTTGTACATTTCCACTTGACAGACATGAAAATATGTCTCTAATTTGGACTAAAAGGAATAAAGCAATGTGGTTAAATATGGCCAAAAAAAAAAGTTCTCAGGTTTGTATTAAACATCTTAAATTGCACCTTGCCTAATATAAATAATCTTTAAATGTATTGTAGGAAAAGTAAAGCAGATCCCTAAATTTTTCAAAATACACACTTTGGCATGCTAATAAGACTCACAAATGGAATCATAACATAAATAATCATCTGCATTGCTTTTTCCCAGGAAAATATTTGAGTTAAATGATGTGCAATTGATCATTGAAAGTTATCAGTGTCATTCAAGTGTTCAGAAAGTTATATCAAATAATTAAAATTTAGAAGCTATTGTTTTGTTATATGCAGTCAGATATTTATTAATTGATTTTTCATCTATCTTCAAATTATGAAGTTTTATGTATAATGATATAATGATATATTGTTATAGTTGCATTATAATGATATATCTATATAATATATATTTATAAATTTGAAGATACCCTTTTTACTTACACTTGATGCCCAAGAAAATGGATGTTGCTAGTAAACCCATGCAGAAAATACATGAAATCACCATCACAAGACACCATGTTCCTAAATATGGAATAAGAATAATTAAATTGAGTTAGGGAAAGTAAATGAGAGAGATGGGTCCAGAATAGGATGAGACTGTGTAAAAGAGGGAATTCACACTGGGCATTTCTACTGGAGAATTGTTGAACCCTGAAATGTGTAACTTTGTGTAACAGAAAAAAAAAAGGGAACCTGTGCTCGGTCCCCTAACTCTGTGTTAATATGTGATTTAGAAAATGTTAAACAGATTAATAGTATACTTCTCATATCTTTATCTATAATGTCACAGTCTTCCTATTTATATATAGTCTTTTCCAATCTTTTAGGGATTATCACAAGTCAGTTAGCATGCTTCAATTTTTGAGAACAAGAATACTGTCTCACATGTTCCAACCTCTTTTCAGTGTCACTTAAACATGATTGATTAAAATGTTTTCTTTTTAATATACACTTTTGGAAGAGGAAGACATTTTTCCAGCTAATTTTCTAGCTTTTCAGGGAGAATAAATGAAGAATGTGTGATTTGTTATATTTGTAACATTAATCAGAGAAAAACAGATAAAATTCATCTTTGGATATTGTGGTAAATAGAATAATGCCCCTGCCCAAGATGCCCATGTCCTAACCCCTGGAACCTGTCAATGTTACATCATGAGGCATAGAAACTTTGAAAATGACACTAAGTATATGGGGATGGGAAGATTAGCCTGGATTATCTGGGTCCTTATAAGCGAGAGGCGGGAGAGGAACAGAGTATGATGTAATCGTGGCAGCATAGAAACATTGAAAGGTGTTATGTTGTTGACTTTGAAGATGGGAAAAGGGGACCATGAGTCAAAAAAAAAAGCAATAAACACAGCTCAAGAACTGGAAAAGACAAGGAGATTAATTCTCCTCCAGAACCCTCCCAACACCTTGGTTTTGACCCAGTAAAACTCATACTTCTACTTTTTACCACTAGAACTATAAGGTAGTAAGTTCATGTTGTATTAATTCCCTAAATCTGTGCTGATTTGTTACATCAACAAAAAGAAACAAATACAGATATTAAATAATAAAGACAGAACTGATCATGATTGTAGACAGTTCTAGGCCATTGAGATCTTACTAGATCTTTAATCTGTGTTTTATTATTTTTAAAAAATATTTATTAGAAATTTTGCAGAGTGTTTTATACAGGAATGAAAATAATTGAAATTATATGATTTTTAACTTATTTTCCAAATCTAGGAATTCTTTGTCTTTCCCAGAGAGAGAAAGAGAGAGAGAGGGAGATAGAGACAGAGAAAGGGCCACATATTTGTGAAGTTTCTTGCTCTTTTTTTCACCTTTATTTACTCCTTCTCCACTTCATTTTATTTAGCATTTTTACACACATTATGATGCTCTTGGGTAAGTTATCTCAGGTTAAAATAAATGCCTTAGCCGGGTTCGGTGGCTCAGCCTGTAATCCGGCGCCTTTGGGAGGCTGAGGTGAGTGAATTGCCTGAGCCCGCGGGTTTGAGACCCGCCTGGGCAGCAAGACCTCATCTCTTCAATAAATAAAAAAATCAGCCGGGCGTGGTAGCGCCTGCCTGTAATTCCGGCTACTCGGAAGGCTGAGGCGGAAGGATCGCCGGAGCCCAGCAGGCCGAGGCTGCGGTGGCCGGGAGCGGCCACTGCACTCCAGTCTGGGCGACAGAGTGAGACTCCAACTCAAAAAAAAAATAAAAATAAAAATAAAATAAAATAAAATAAATGCCTTGGGCTTATCATAGAACAGGAAACAAAAGGTAAACTCTAAAATCTTACACAAAATAATTAGAAGTTGTTACCTGAACACCTGGTGGATGGCAGACATTTCTGGCAAGAGTTTGGTGTTGGATTATCCCACTGAAGAGAGGTATATATTTCTTCCTCATGCATGTCTGAAATGTTTTGATAGGAAAACAATCCCCACGGGAATTTGACACAAATAACTCCTCTCGTGGTTAGGACTAGGTTGGTGAAAGAACTGAAACTGGCTACATTTTCACAGTAGTGGGAGAATATATTTAAGTTTAAGGAATAGAATAAATGTATCTTCATCCAGAAAGTGGAAGTTTATGGAGTTCAAGTCAAAGCACAACTTGGTAAAGGAGGATATGAGAAAGAACGGGATTCAAAATTGCCAATGATAAAATGTTTTTGCCCTGGTTACCAAAATGTAGCAGGTGTTGATGGAGATAACACTAAATTACAGTTAAGTAGACAAAAAAAAGATGTAAGTGCAAAGAATGGACTTGCATTTGGTATAGGACATCAAGTATAGGGATGACCTAGATAAAAAGATACTAAGATAGCTCACCTTGGCCAAATCAGAGTGTAAAGAGTGATAGGTCACTGTGTAGCCTTAAACAGGAAAACTAGGAAGGAATTTTGTCTTCAACATAAATTTACATACCATATATCAGTTAGGACAATGTTAGTCGCTATGACAAATAATTCTCAAACTATCACTTGTTTAACACAATGAAAGTGTATAGCTCCCTCACAGAACATCTTACTTTCAGTAATACTGATTAGTAGATAGCTTTCCTCCAAATGAGACTTGGTATTCTTCCATCTTGTGAGACATTGGAGTTCTCAATTTCTATCCACTGAAAAAGAAAAGAGAAGGTGATGAATCTACATATATTTCTTGAAAACCATAACTTAGAAGTAAAATGTATCACATTCACCTCTACCAAAGGCATGCCCCCGTTTGTATATAAAGGTTGAGCTTGAATAATGTAATGTAATTTTTGACTGACTGCAATCTTTGGATGACAGCTTTACTCTAGAAGGAAAATATGAATTATTTACTGGACAGATGGCCATTTCTACTGCATCCTGTAACTGCATTAATACTGAGAGGTTTGATACTTCATTCATCTTTTGGACACTTGTCCTTATGACTTGTCCAAAAGTCATGTCTCATTTACATAGTCTGCCAGTTCCAACAATCTGCAAAATTGTGATGTTCTCTTTTGTTTCAATGTCTCACTGCATCAATCATTTCTCTATAACAATCAAGACCCTAAAATTAAAGGATTGCTTATAAAGTTTGGGGAAGGGTTAAGGGTATAAAAAAGGGCGGTGAAAAGTGTGTTATCACTCCTAGATGTAAAGAATTAAGTGGAGGTTGTTTATTGGAACTTTGTGACCTGCCTGACAAGGACCATGGACTAAGATACAGAACGTGCAGTCTTTGCCAAACCTAGCCACGATAGTGAGCAAACCGTTGGAAACACTGCACTTCTGATCTCTTGTCAGTGAATTCCATTGGCTAATTAACTGAAAGCCAGAATTCAAGTTTACCCAGATAATACATTCATTTGAGTTCAGTCTCCTAAAGCATAGGTTGGGGCTGAAAGATCTCCAGTTGTAAATGGAGCATATTCAGCCCATTCTCCAGTGTTTTATATGATGTTTGTATGACCTTAAATTTTGATCTGAAAAATGATGCAACTTAATCCCACATAGTCTTTAAAACAGGATCATTTCCCTCTTAAGAAACGAGGAAGAAACCATATACATACCAAAAGTGCCTTGAGGCTAATGTCAGGAACACAAGAACAGGAAGTTCAATAAGTTGTTATTAACTTGCAATTGCTCTTAAATTTTCCTCCTACTGTGGGAGATTTTCTGTCTTCTTAATATATCCTGCTTTAAAAAACTGTTACATATATGACTTTTGATATTTCTAATCATACTATCTGTTATTTATTGTTCATTACTTTCCAAGTACTATCTTTTAAAACTTTCACAGAAATTAGTTTGATTTTTTCAGTATCTACTACGGAGTACAGGCATATCTCGTTTTATTGAGCTTTGCATTCTTGTGCTTTGCAAGTTTAATTTTTTTTTAAATTAGTTTGTGGCACTATTTGATTTACTCCTCTTCTTTTTTGAGTTAGAGTCTCACTCTGTCCCCCAGGCTGGAGTGTATTGGCACACTCATGGTCACCCCAGCATCGACCTGCTGGGCTCCGGCGATTCTTCTGCTTCAGCCTTCCAAGTAGCCGGAACTACAGGTGCACACTACCACACCTGGATAATTGTTTGATTTGTTGTAGAGATGAAGTCTCGCCAAGTTGCCCAGGTTATTCTCGAATCTGTGGGTTCAGGCCTCCCCCCAAAAATTCCCTCATCTGGGTTGGGATTACAGGCTTGAGCCACCATGCGCAGCTGATTTACATCTCTAATTGTGTTTTTGTGATACACTAAGATATTATTCTTCTAAATTTATTCATGCCATAGCTCATTTGTGATGTAAAAATATCTGCTTTTTTATTTTGTAGGGATGAAATGAAGCCCATAGATATGGCTAAGTTTTAGAAAATTTTCTGAATTATTAGTTTTTAGTTGGCTTCTCTACATAAACAATTAAAATCAAGAAAATAATTACATCACCCAAAAGCCAAGATCTCTAGACATGTGAAGTAGTAAGTAGAATCTGAGAGATATTTCTGATATTTTTCAAAGCTCCAAATCTGTTTATTTATTGATAGTCTAGAACAAGATAAAATTTCAAGTGTTTTTGAGTGTTAGTGCACAAAAGCTATAAAAGGAACATATTTATTTATTTCATGTTTGGTATTCTGATTAATATTTTATATAAGTATAGTAAATGAGCCTCACAATTACGTTATATCATTAATAATATTAAAATCCATTTCATAGATTGGAAACTGGATTGTAAAGAGACTAAATTACTTACTCAAAGCCACATAGAGAATAAGTACTAAAGTAATATTTTAAAAAATATATTAAAGTTTATTTGTATCAAAATCATGTGGGTGTGCTTGATCAAAACAAACGTTTCTATGTCTCCTTAGCCTTCCAACTGAGTACCATCTGTATTTGTGTTTAAGTTCTCCATATTTTAACAAACACCTCCATTGAGATGTTTGAGAGTCATATTCATAAAGTGTATTCCCACTAAAGACAGGAAGTTGTGGAACAGACAAGCAATTTTTGCCTTTTATCCTGTTAATAGGTGCCTCTCCACATTTTCTATAAATATTTCCTGAGTTACTCAGCAAAAACCAAGGACAGAACTGTTAGGAAAAGAATTAGATAAAACACGTTTACTTGTTTTCTGTCTAGTAGCCTGTGGGCCTTGTTAAGAAGCATTTATTTTACTTTATGAGGTTTCTTGCAAACTATATTTTCCTTCTTTTGCACAGAAAATTATGGCTGTTGAGTCAGACCAGAGGAGAATTTGCAATAATAATTGCATTTGTGTGGTGTTTAACTGATTGTGGTATTTTCCACTAAACTATCTCATACAGTGAGAAACAAATATTTCTTTGTTTCTGCTGAGCCAGGATCTGTGCTTTCTGCTGGTCATAAAGAACTGTAAATAGGGAAGTTATGGTGTCTGCTTTTATGGAGTTTCTGGTATTGCCAACATTCCAAAGTTTTATTTTAGGTTGGAAAATTGTGAGGTATCAAAGATGGGTTATTATTCTGTTTTAAATATAAGAAAACTGGAAGTTAAAGAGGCTGCATAACTGATTCCTGGTTGTACTTTAGTTAAGTGACTATATCATCCAAATTATTCTACTGATTCCAAGTTTAGCATCTTTTTACTATCTTATGCTATCTTTCAAACTTAGATATTTTGCACAAATTAAACCAATTAAGCCTTAACCTTTCTTATTCTGATTTTAATTTTGCATGTGGCTATCTGAAGATACTGTGACTCATAAAGTTTAGATCATTAGGAATTGAAGCTATGAAGAAAGAAAATTAATGAAAAATTGAATAATTGGATAGTAATCCTCTCACATGTTGGCATCTAGATATGTGAAGAAGAGACTAGGAACATGGTGTTGGTGGTAAAGATAATATTGAAAAATGTTCCATGGGGAAGAAAGGGAGACAAAACAAATTTTATGACTGCAGATTCCTTCATCTAGATCTTTTATTGTACAATCAAGCTCTTTTCTGTGATATCCTGCTCATCTCTTTGTGTTAAAGTAGTTGGTCCACCTTTGTCATGCCAGCCTTCCTCTCACACATTAAAAAATGTTTGTCCTTACAGGAGGTGGGGTGGATTTTTCCATTATAAAAATAAGCACAATTCATATTTTCTCTTCCATCTCCAGAAAATTCAAACCTGTGAATAAAAAGGTAGAATAAATTCATTGGAAAACTAAATCAACAATCAAACTCTGTTTATAGTATTTTGTCGCATAAAGTGGAGGCGATCGGGAAAAAAATTTACAAACCCCATTTCTTATTATTAAGAGACTCCCTATCTGGTTTAAAGTACAAGGTATGTGCATTGGAAAAGCTCAATAGCAATTTAATATGCAATTAAGGAGCACATAAACACTAGCTAAAATAGCAGAGAAAAAGATGAATATAGCTCTGAAATAACAGGAAAAGACTTTAGTTACAAAATCAGACATTAGGAAGAGCATGGTGTAGATAAACTGAGATAAGGTTAGAGAACCCAAGAGCAAGCAGCTACACAAGATGAGAATAAACTCAAGGAAAAGTAAGTTGATTAAATATTTTTGAACTGTGAACTTATGTTATAGGGTAGTAGATCTAAGATAGCACACTATATTGTAATTTCCTGCTAACTTGTCTACATTCCTTGCTAGACTGCTTATAATGAGAGAACAAGGAATGTGTATTTATTAGTTTATTTTTCAAATATCTGTGAAACACCAACTATCTGCCAAAGTTGTTCTATACTGAGGACAGAGTAGAAGAGGAAGACAAGAAAGATAAGGTCTCTTCTGTTGGGAACTTACATTTCATTAGGGAGAGGAAGAGGAGGGCTATTGGTAGCATGCTCACAGATAAACAAACAAGAAAATTTCAGAGAGTGCTAAGAGTTACAAAAAAATAAAACAGTGGTCGACTGTGTGAATGTGGGTTGCAAGGAGGTTAATTTAGTTTGGGTAGTTAGAGTTGGCTTCACGGAAGAAGTTATGTTTAAATACAGACTTGAGTCACAAGGGGGAGCCTGGCAAGGAGTTGTAGAGGCAGAACATTCTAGAAGAAAACAGCAAGTACGAAAACCATAAGCCAATAAAACAGTTTGATCTGTTGAAAGAATGAAAAGAACACTAATTTGTCTGCATATTATGAATAAGGCAGTAAGTGATAGGAGATAAAGCCCAAAGTCTGTTAAGAGGCTTGCTTGGAGCTGTAGTATCCTAGGCTCCTATCTATCATAAATACTTAATAAATATTTATTTAATAGCTTAGTAATTTAATGAATGATCAAATTATACAAGTTTTGGTTATCAGGTTCAATTTTAATTGGAGAGAGACTGCAGCTTTGATATACAGGATGAACAAAAGGCGGTGAAATTTGAGACAGGAATGTCGTAGGAAGCAACTCATATCTACGTAATTGGCCCCTTTGCCTGGATTTCTGGAAAAGAATAGAGTTACATAATCATTGGAGTTATCTTGTGAACTACAATGTACCTAATTCTTAGAGACTCCTAGGATAGACAAGTAGGGAAAATAATACTGGAAAGCTGAAAGAATCCTCAAGGTAATAACTTTCAATGATCAAATAATGAGGATAAAAATTTTGTTTTAAAAATATGAAGAGACAATCAGAGCAAGTTAAACACACACACACACAAACACACACATACACACACTCAGTGTTCTAGTGGTAAAGTTGAATGAAGAAATAAATGGGACAATAATAAAATTGGAGCATGGTTTAGATAAAGACAGAATAGAGAGGAGAAGAAGCGGAATTGCCTTATTACCCATGTTCCCTTATTAGGAGGTTGTAACTGACTCAGTTGCTACTTATATAGCCCATAGTTGGGTATGGAAACACCTATTAATTTTCTGAGTAATCTATCTTCAAGAGGAAAGGGAATCTCAGGAATAAAAGTTTCTGAATGTATAGTGACTTACATATTTTTGGAGAGAACTGAGCCATCTTCCCACATCCAGACCTCATTAGAGTTTTGGCGGGATAATCCAACCCAACGAATTAAACTAGTTCTGGTTTTGATGTATTCCTATTGCAAACATAAATAGATACAATGATCAGAATGCCTCCACAACTGGTGGTAATGCCATTTAACAAAAGATTCATGATTAGATACTGGACAAACAAAGCTGGATTACATATCTGTATTTATATTAATGGATTACATTTAATATTTAAAATTGGTTCAAGTTTACTTGGTTTTGAATTTTAAAAACTCCTTGTAGGACACAGGAAAAATTACATACACAATAACTGGTATTCTAATCTTCCTATGTGTCTATAATATATGCTTATATTTTCAATCAATTGAAGATTAGACTCCCAAATAGACCACTGAATATGATTCAAATGGGACAAATGGTAAACAATTAGAGAAAGAAAACAAAAAGGAACACATTGTTGATGAGATTTATGTTCCCTAGAATTAAGCTGTACTTGCTTTGGTTTTGTTGCTTCTCTTGCCTATAAAATCTTACATATAGAAATACTAATTAGTTTTAGTTAATTTGGTAAAGGAGAAGTGTGTGTTTTTATCAATGGGATTTATAAATAACACACATTTGCTTTTCCTGATTTACTTTTTTTCTACTATTTACTATACTATATACTATATTTATTTGCGTATTGCTCCAACTAGAATATAAGCTTTTTGAGGTTAAGACATTTTTTTTTTGGTTTTAATAACTGCATAGGTCCAAGTCCTGGAATAGTTTCAGGAAATATCTGTTGAATTAATAGATGAATCAGTCGATTAATTAATCTATCTAGGGGCAACAAAATTAAGAGAAAACCAAATGTTTATATATTTTCAGACTTTCCACAGTAATGGTTGAGAATGCATTCTTGGCAAATAAAACACGATTTGAGATTCTTGACAGGCACGTGAGACCTAGAATGGCATTCCACTGGAGACATCATGTGAAATAAATTTGGGCTGCTTATGGCTTAAGTCTTGATATTTTCTTTAAAATACATCCACATTATATACTTCCCTATAGCACCTGACAAATTCTACCTGCATTTTTGAAATTTTGCCTGAAATTCAACTATACTTTCTCAAAAATTGCATTACTTCTTCGAGTTATAAGTTTTCAACCTAGCCTCTGTCTAAAGTAATGAGATTCAGGCCTAGCTTATATGTTTCTAAAGAATCTCTGCAGTGAAGATGGGTTTTTAGAGAATTCTTCTAGTTTGCCTTAGCAGAAAGAAAATTTAATTTATTTAACTGAATATCTTATTTATGAGCCTAAGCTTACAAAAATAGTAAAGTAGATGGTGCAGTAAGTTAGAAACACAGGATACAAATAATCATGAACATCACTGGACTGACTTCTCATCTGTGACCTACTGTGCACCTTAACTCTCAGCATGGTACAAGTCAATTTTATCGATAAACTATAGAGACTCTTGGAATCTAACTAGATTAAATATTGGGCCTCTGTAATTCTTACCACGTTTCACAAGGTTCTTAGGTTAGCACAAATTGAAAGACATAAGAAAAATGTAAACGAAGAAAAAGTCAAATTTTACATTTAAGTTCTTTCTCCCTATCCCTCCAAAATATTTGGCATAAGAATCTCCTTACCAGAATGTTCTGGTCGGCAATCTTCAGGAGAGTAGCATTCATGCCAGTGCAGAACTGCTTACTCTCTTCCCATGTCAAGTTGCGCTTGAAGAATCCATAGCAACTATCTCCATAATATCTCCAGTTTGTGTCACAGGGGCTGCATTTATGGCTTTCAGGAGAAACTAAGCACAGGAATGTTATTAATTCTAAATTGGACTTACATTTTCTCCGCATTCAACATTATCTGCACTTCTCAAAACTCCCTTTAGTTACCATCACAGAAATACTCCAGGGGTTGGGAAGATGAGGAGGTTCCAAAACAATACTTACCGAAATTGTTCTTTTGTTCTGATTGTTTTATTAAATATTGGCAGAAGCGCTTTGCTAATTGATGAAGCATTCCTGAGAGATTTTCATTCTCAACTTGTAGGTAATTTTGCTGTGTTACAGCTACATATAAAAAGTAAATGTTAACAATTTGTAATCAGAATTATAAAAATGCTTCAAAGGTCTTCCGATGAACTTTTATTCCATTAGAATTGCCAATATATGAAGAGCTTATTAGATATACACAAGTAAATGTGTGTTGAAAAAGGATAAGAGTAAAGGGGACAGAGAGAGCAAAGCAAATATGCAAAGTTGACACTTGAGGGTTATCTCAATAAGTGAACTGCTAGAAGGAAACAATCACAAATAGGAAAATCCCAAGATCAAATAACTGCTCAAAGTGATTGTTTTGACATTTCCAGGAATATAGGCTTCTTAGCAGACTTCCTAGAACTGAATGACCTGTTATTTTCTGTTCTTCCTGTAATGCAAAAATATTCATTCATTTAAAAATGCATTTTGATTTATTGTTATGCTTAAAGTATTTTTGATAGGTAAATAAAAGATGGTGAATAAAATATTCTAAAATAGCTTATGAAAAATAAACACATATACAAACAAGAAACAACTACACAGACTACAATGTGCCATTGGATGGCTGTAAGATTTGCAGGAAGAAAAACAGTATTTCAGTAAACAATATGGGAAGGAGGAAATGTTATGTAGAGGGAATAGAATGAGAGAACATTCAGATGGGGAACATAGGATCTATTTACAAAATTGGGAAAACTCTGGTTGGCTGGCTGGCTCTTGGGATATGCAAGATAGGCCGAGGGGAAAAAAACATTCAAAAAAAAATAATTTGGATCCATACTGAGAAAGACCTTAAAGTTCAGTATTAAATTCTTAAAAATTACTTTTAATGCATAAAACATTTTAAAAGTCATTTTAATCAGAAGAAAAAGGTCAATGTTCTCCTTTGTTGAAAATATCTTGGCTGCTCTGTATAGGACTATTGGAGTACTGACAAACAAACAGTGGCAATTAAGAAGCTTAATGGGATACACCACCACACTTTGGTGTTGTCTTTTTCAGATAAAAGCTTTGGCAAAGAGTCAATACTTACACATAATCCCTAGAGCAGTCAGTCCAACAACCATTCCCATGCATAGGATCAGCAGAATCAATGCTATCACAGGCCACCAGGAGGAGGAAGCAGAGTCAACTGTAGGCATACAATACAGATGTCAAAACACAGGTAGTACAGGCCTAGCTGTGCGGCGGAATCACCCTATCCTTCTTTTTTCAGGATTTTCCAAGTAGTGTAAACAGCTTCACTGGCAGATGTCACCTGTGTTCGCTTGGTGATCATCCCACTCTCATACCACACATCTTTTCCTCTTCAAGCCAAATATAACTATCTGTAAGACCTGGTATATTTGTCATTTTGTTTTGTTTTCTGCCCACCCCCTCATAAATAAGTGCTTTAACAAATAACAGTTAGAGAATCACACTCATTTGCTGACATTTAGAAAACAATAGCCAAACATTCTTTCCTATTATCCCCTTGGCTTCTGTGCCCTTCAGCATTAAGCTTTAAGAACCTAATACAACTTTAATATAAGTCCTGCTTGTATCTTTGATGTTTATATGCTAAATAGGTCTATATAAGCCTATGTAGACACCACTCAAATGTTGTAGGATAAGAACATCACTTTGGAAAAAAATGAAATAAAAACTATATGTGCTATCTCTAGTAGAAAAATAAAAAAAATAGGATTGACCATTTTCACTAATTAATTTCCAAATTTCTAGCTCTGGGTATTCTTACCTGAGCTGAGAACTGGTTTTCGAGTTTTAACATTTAAGGTGATGTATCCATCTTCATCCTGCATGGCTTCCCTCAGACTGCAAGCGACCACAGGGTTCAGTGACTGTAAAATGTAGTGTTTGCTCTTACTGTTTCAATATCTGCCAGTATATGATCCTCCTTTTTCTGGTAGGGTAGAACTGTGTGAGTTGGGACACTTTTTTTTTTCTCCTTCTGTTTTCCAGGAAGCTCTTTCATGGCTGCTCAGAGATACACGGACCTTGAACACAAAAACACAAAAATAATAATAACTTGTGGTAAAGGAATAGATAGGGCATTTGTTTCCTGTTTCCTTATCTTCAACTCTGAATAAAGGGATATTCCATCATGTGCATCCTTTCAAAGAACAAAAGTTCATGCTTCATCTTAACCCTAGCAGAGTTTAAATCATACTGTTCAAATGAAGTGATTTCTGATGAAACTTCATGGATAAAACACCAGCAGATATATAGTCTATCCCATTGTGAGAAGCAAGTCTATTATAATTTGATCTGATATGGGGCTAAATTAGATGCTTCGTGGAACATGCTGTGTTGGAAGGGACCATTCTTAATTATGACCTACAACTTATCCAAATTTTTGCATCTTTTATGCATTAATTTTTCAAGAATTTGAGGACTCCAGATGAGGCAGGCCTCATATTCCTTAGGTTTAGGCATTGAAGGAAGATAATCAAATAAAGTGAAATAATACAAAGTTAGTGACTTGATGTATTGCTCTGCAGTAATGTTTGCACTTTAAAGTGAATTTCCAGAAATGGAAAAAGCTTAATTCAATGAAATTATTTACTTTCAAGTGTAAGGGTGCTTAGATAAAAAACCATTTGGGGAAAGATGGTTTACCAGCACCCTTTATGTCACAAAATACTATGTATTCCACACACTTAATTTTATAAAATGGGTTTTTAAATTATTACTTTAATTTACATTGAAACTTGTAATAAGAACAACTATACAAAGCTAATGATGTATTTATTGTAGCAATATTGATAAGAATGTTGTCTATTCGCTTACATAGTTTTATAGCAGATATTTTGTTAAACCTCTATAGTCGGTAAAGCTTCCCTTCTTTTGAGTAACTAGTTTTTATCTTATAAATAATTTTTTTTCTATTTTTTCTTTAGTTATTACGATGCTAGACATATCAATATGATAATTATGTGGACTCTCAAAGCAGATATTTGGTTTACTCACTTCCCCTTTTGGATAGCTTGTACATTTTTTTCCTCTCTGCTATCTTTTTCTCTGAATTCTTTGTCAATTCACTTAAAATAATCTTATATTTTAAAATTTATTTTCCTACACTCCTCAAATTATTTGAAAAATAAACAAAACAGACATGAAAGACAGTGCCTGATTTTGGAGTGCCTGATTTTGGAAACCCAAACTTAGTATGAATCAAGTGTTTTTACCAAAAAACAATTAATAAAATATCTCTTTAAATTCAAATAAGTGTTAAATTTAACAAAAGTACTAAATTTAAGAAAATTCAAATCCCCAAGCCCATTTTTATTACTGAATTTCTAATCTTCAATGATTCCCAATCATAAACTGAGTAAATTCAATCATTCTACTATTTATCTGCTTCTGTTCTCATAACTTCTATTTTATCTAAAGGGGACTCTTTACTCTTTCTTCACTAATTCTCAAGCTTTGTTGGAAGTATAGGGTTAGATAAGTGGTCAGGGTTAGGTAAGCGTTCTACTTCCTCTCTGTCTTTGCCCACATCTACTCAAGTAGTAAAGACCTGAGACTTTTCTTTCTTTTATGTTCTATCAATGCCTTACAGTACTGTTTTTTCCCCTAAAATATACAGAAACTCTGAACAACAATTGAATAAATAATTGTGACTAAGTAACAGAGAGAAAAGAAAATGGGTGTGGAAGTTATAATTCAAATGACACTCTTCCAATAGAACTTATCTCTGATCTCTTTGTAAGTAAATAGGTACTTCTAAAAATGTAATGTGTTAAATAAAATTAGATCCAAAAATGTAAGATCCAATGACCTTTAGAAACCATTTAAAATTATTTTAAACATTTTGTTGTTCAATTAACATTAACTTTAAGATGGTATTTAGCGTTATCAGTGAGCTTGCTTTGTTGAGGTTTCCACATTCTCTGGACCTTGGATAATGATTTAATTATAAAAGTGTCTCATTTACTTCTGTAAACTATCAGGAATAATTCAGGTTCATTTCAATCAGGTTTTAATGCTTAGAACTGTATATTTAACACCAGAAGTTGGTAAATCTGAAATGGGTAATAATAAGCCTCAGATGATATTCCTTTCTTATGTCCCAGGCTCTGGATTTTCCTTTGGTTCTTTTTTCATTTTTATTGTAATTTATCATTACATTTTTGCATCTTTTGTAACTCTAGCTACTGTATGAGGATCTTATGTAGACCAATTATATGTTCCACAAAATATATATTTGCCATTATGTCTATCCCCTAAACATGACTTTGGGGTGCTAAAAACTTGCTAAGTGAATGCAGAAAATCTCAGAGTCAAAGGAACAAGCCCCTGATAACATTTACTCTTAATTTTTCTCCCTCCCTCCCTCCTTATATCCTGTAAATATAAACTGAGCTACTCAGCAAAAATTAAGCTAGTAACTGCGGGAAAAACAGATAGATATAACAAATTTCCAAAATTCAGAGGGTTTGCTAACTATCCTTTGATCATTCTACAAAACTCATTAACATATTTTCTTTCTGCTTGACTATTTCATTCCTCCTTCCTTTTCTTTATTCAGGAAACTGAAGCTGAAAGAAAGATCTTTATTCCAAATTTCCTAATGAGGCTAATCTTGAAATAAAAACCTTTATTCATTTAATATTTTAGAGGCTAAGCGGCACACTTGTATTTTTTTAATTTTCATTATAAAGATGTGGGGTACAATTCAGGGTTAGGTATACAAATGGTGATTATGCAGGCACCCTTGTTGATGAGGTATGCCCCTCCCTCCCCTAGCAGTTTCCCTCAACTGCTATCCCAACCCCCTATCCCCCACAGTTTCCCACTACTGCCAATCGCTTTCTTATAGTATTATATTTTGTTCAAGATCAGCTTATGAGTGAGAACAAGTGGTACTCTGGTCTTTGTTTCTGTGATAGATCACTGAGTATGATCACTTCTAAATCCATCCAAATTGTTGCAAAGACCATATGTTTGTCCTTCTTTATGGCTGCATAATATTCCATTGTGTATATGTACCACAATTTTTAATCCAGTCCAGCTTCGATGGGTACCGCGAATGGTTCCATGTTTCTGCTATTGTGAATAGAACTGCAACAAACATACATGTGCAGGTATCTTTTTTTAGAATGATTTGAGTTCCTCCAGGTATATTCCCAATAGGGGAATAGCTGGGTAATATGGAAGGTCAATTTCTAGTTCTTTGAGAAACCTCCACACTGTCTTCCAAAGAGGTTGCACTAGTTTACATTCCCACCAGCAGCGTAGAAGCGTTCCTTTTTCTCTGCATTCTCGCCAGCATGTGTTGTTTCATTAACGATGGCCATTCTTACTGGGGTTAGGTGGTATCTCAATGTGGTTTTGATTTACATTTCTCTGATGATGAGTGAAGCTAAGCACTTTTTCATGTGTCTGTTGGCTGCCTGTATAACTTCTTTTGAAGAGTGTCTATTCATGTCTTTTGCCCACTTTTTAATAAGGCTGGTTGATTTTTTTTTTCCTTTTGCCGCGTTTGAGTTCCTTGTAGATACTAGATATTAGGCCTGTTTGTCAGATATTCAGTTAGCAAATACTTTTTCCCATTCTGTGGGCTGTCTCCCTGCTCTCTTGATGGTTTCTTTTGCTTCGGAGAAGCTCATTAGTTTGATAAGGTCCCCCTTGTCTAACTTATTTCTTAATGTATGGGCATTTTGGATTCTGAATAGGAATTGGTTGCCAGTTCCAGTTTCCAAAAGGGTGTCTCCTGAGTTTTCTAAGATTCTTATACTTTGAGGTTTTACGTTTAGGACTTTGATCCATTTAGAGTTAATTTTTACGTATGGTGATAGGTAGGGGTCTTGTTTCAATCTTCTGCATGTGATCAGCCCAGTTTTTCCAGTACTATTTAATGAATATGTTCTCCTCTCCCCAGTGGTTGCTGTTGGAGACTTTGTCAAAGATGAATTGGTTGAGAAATTGAGGCTTTGCTTCCTGAATCTCTATCTTGTTCCGTTTTTCTATGTGCCTGTTCTTGTACCAATACCAGGCTGTTTTGATTACTGTAGCCTCTTACTAAAATTTGAAGTCTGGAAGTGTAATACCTCCTGGCTTTATTTCTTCTGCTAAGGATTGTTTTGGCTATTCGTGGTCATTTATGTTTCCATATGAATTTCTGTATTGTTATTTCCAGATCTAAGAAGAATGATGTTGGTAACTTAATGGGTATTGTGTTGAATCTGCAGATTGCCTTTGGTAGGATGGACATTTTAACAATGTTGATTATTCCTGTCCATGAGCATGCAATATTTTTCCATTTGTTTGTGTCTTCTGGAATTTTTTTGAGCAGTGTTTTGTAGTTCTCATTGTAAAGGTTTTTCCTTTCTCTGGTTAGAAGACGCTGAGGTATGTCATTTTTTTTTTTTTTTTTTTGGTGGCTATGTGAATGGGATTGTGCTTTTAATTTGGGACTTGGCCTGCTTGTTGTTGGTGTATGGGAAAGCAACTGTGTTTTGCACATTTATTTTGTACCCTGAGACGTTGCCAAAGTCCTTTATCATTGCAAGCAGGTTTTTGACAGATTCTCTTGAATTTTCAAGGTATAGAATTTTATCATCAGCAAAGAAGGATAACTTGACTTCCTCTTTTCCTCTTGTCTCCTGATTTCCTTCTCTTGTCTAATTGCCCCAGCAGAACTTCCAACACAATGTTGGTCAAGAAGGGTGAGAGTGGGCAGCCTTGTGTTGTTCCAGTTTTCAGGGTAATGTTTCCATTTTCTGTTCATTTAGCAATATGTTAGCTGTGGGTTTATCGTAGATGGCACTTACTATTTTGAGGTATGTTCCTTCTA